TGTTGTGCGCTCTGCTGAGAAGGTGATTGGCTGCAGACTCCCATCTCTGCAGGACCTGTACACCTCCAGGACATTGCGGCGTGCAGCTCGGATCTCAGTTGACCCTTCTCACCCTGGACACAGTCTGTTTGACCTGCTCCCCTCAGGCAGGAGGCTCCGGTCCATTCGCACCAGAACCTCTCGCCATAAGAACAGTTTCTTCCCCTCTGCTGTTGGACACATGAACAATAACCATATGACTGTTCCCACCACTAACACATGACCCTACGCTGTGTCACTGCATCATTCCATGTTTGGCACTGATCACCACCTGCACTCATGTATATATCTTTCTACGTAGCACTCTTAATTCTTATTCTCATGTATATATCGCATGTATAGCTCATGCACATGTCTTTCTACGTAGCACTTTTAACTCTTATCCCTACTTTTATTTTTTCATGTCTATTTAAGTGCTATTTATGACACTACGTTTGCACTGAAGCACCGCAGCAATTTCCTAATGTTGTAAACCTGCTCAACATTTGGCAATAAACCCCTTTCTGATTCTGATTCTGATTCTGAGTGCAAGAAATTAATTCTGCATACGTCTCAGCTGAATGCAAGAAAATTACAATGAAGTTATCACTGTCAAGACATTTTTTCATCCTCTGTTAAACCAAACACGTAATTTGTGGATATTTGTATTATTTAAAATGTTTTTCATATGAGCCACGGTTCACTGTAATTAAATTATTAGAAGTAGAAAACCTATTATGTGAAAAAAGCAGATACATTTCGGGTGTCATAACTCACAGGCCAGTTCCTGTTTAATTCCTGATTGAAAACACCACAACGCTGCGTACAACCATACACTCTGTCACTGGGACCTTAAACTTTTCTCCTTAACAGATCTTGGGTGTTAAAAAAAAAGAGGTACTGGTTACAGATTATTAAAATGAGTCCTTATGTTTCCAAAATAACTGCATCAGCATCGTATCGTATGAGTAGCTAAATCAAGGAAGGAAGGCATAGAAAAAACGGGCCATGTAAACAAAAAAAGCAAAGCTGCAAACAGACAGGAAGTGTTAAAGAAAAGCTGCTCGGCTAAAGCCAGGCACTATGTTCTCATGGCAACTGAAACCCGTCTCCTTGGAAACTAATCTCGGGGCATTTGAACAATGCAGCTCTGGCCTTTAATCTCTCCAGACACTGGGAACCATTATACTAGCCTCTGGCAAGCCCAAACCACTGACTCAATAGAGAGAGAGGACACAGAGGCAGAGAGACAGACAAGAGGCAGAGGGAGGAAGAGGAGGGTGGGTGTGGTGGGGTTCAGCTGCACCAGTTTGAACGTGCCAAGTCTATTGGCCATCTAAATCTGCATCCCCTGAGGCCACAGCAAACATTACCCCCTCCCTCCCTCCTAAATTATTATGGCCTGGAAATAGATGGCCTCTTTCCCTCGCATATTTAAAAGGCAAAGGAAGCAGAGAGAGAGGGACAAACGGTGGGGATAAGCAGAGGCTCGGGATAATGCCATGTCAATTGCTTTGCGAGAGGAAGCTCAAGCATAATGTCACAGTGCTGTTATGATTCTCAGTGACTATTGAAGAGTTCAACATGGAACGGCTTTCATAAATAAAGCAATGCTCAAAATCAATGAGTCTATTATGATCCCGAAAGAAAAGGAAAGCCAAGATTATTTATTGCAAATCCAGCTGTTGATGGAGAATGAGGTGAACTTTGCAGGCATGCGGGGACTATTCACTATGATTTCATCCAGACAGTCACTTTTACAAAAGCTCAATTATACTCTAAGCCTGCAAAAAGAGGCTTACGATCGTTGTTAGTATAAGCAACAGTCATGCAGTTTATTTAACATAACAGGGGTTTTTCCTGAAGGTAAAGAAACTACGCCGCCCACCAGAAAGGGGTTGTCCTTGGACTGTGCCCAAGCTGTGCCCAGCTTGCTCAAAGTAACAGGAAAATGTGGAGATTTCTTTAAAGTAAGGCTACACTGACTCTTTGTCTTAACCATCTACGGACCAATTGTACTAAGGTCCAAAATACTCCTACTATTCCTACTGTATATTACTGTACACTACTATTCTTATTGTATATATTGTATATCATATATCTTATTCATCTGTTCCTCTGTCTCTCCTGCTGCTTTGAGCATGTACATGACAAAATAATTTCCCTCGGGATAAATAAAGTTGTTCTTATTCTTATTCTTAAAAATCATCCTGGACTAGGACTGCCACGATTAGTCGACTAGTCACGATTACGTTGACTATCAAAATCATCGACGACTAATTTAATAGTCGACGCGTCGTTTGAAGCTTTGTAAGATCCCAAAAGACGCAGGAATAAGTAGTAGGATTTAAGAATGTAACAACGGACTGAAACAGAAGATGGCAGCACTGCATGTACAAGAATGCCAGCTGCCGTTAAACCCCGAAGAAGAAGAAGAAGCTCTGTCCCAGAATTCATAGCGCAGCCCTGCTCAGTTTCCAACAATGGCGGCAGCTAGTTAGTTTTAATATTACTTATTATTCTTTCTGGGTCAGTAAATAAACGTTTAACATATTTTCAGGCGAGAATGTAGCTGTGTAAACCTCAAATATCTGCTCAGTTTATCAAGACACCACATATTTTCAAAAGCGCTTCGACGTTTTCGGAGACTTCTGTTGCCCACTAGCTCGATAGCTAGCCGGGGGCTAGGCTCACTAGAGCCGTGAGAACACCGGACTCCCGGCAAATCGTTTTCAAACCCACCGCCGTCCTTCGCTACTCAGGTTGAACATATATAAGTCACATAGATAACTTAAAAATGTTATTGTTTGGCTTTTTTTAGTATTTTATTTGTTCCTGAGTAAATCGATTTGGCTGAGATTAAAGTTATAGTTTTTACACAGCTGAATAAACGTCAAGCAGACAGCTGATTATCAGAAGTGTGAGATGCTCAAGAATATACTCCGGTGTCCTATTATATTTTAGATAGCAAGGAGTTTATTAAACTTCACCTAAACAATCTGCAGATTTCATTAAAATTTAATAAACTATCATCTTGTCTTTATTTTTAGTTAGCACCTTAAACACTTAAAGCTGTAAGCTAATGGTAGTTATATAAGAGCAGATGCTGCTGGTGCAATAAGCTGTACGTTTTACGTCCAATGGATGCATGATCTGATTAGTCGACTAATCGCAAAAATAATCGGTGACTAGTCGACTATCAAAATAATCGTTTGTGGCAGCCCTATCCTGGACAGAACAATTTTGAGCCATTGATAAAGGTCCTGCCTGCTAGGGCTGCTCAATTATAGCAAAACTCTTAATGACATTCATTTTTGTCCAGTACTGACAATATGGTTATTTAATACAAATGTTCACATAAACTGGAAAAATGGTGGATTTACTCAATTTAAAAAAGGAAGACAGATAAAACTCTTTTTATTAAGTGAGTTTTCAGTAACTCTGATTGCAGCTCAAATGAATAAACTAAATGAATGAATGTGACCTGAATTAAAGCAGCCACAGCCTGGCAACGAGCAAATGGGAACTACATGAAAGAGCAAAAATGAAGGAAAAGAACATGCTGCATGGGAAAACGCACAAATTAAAGAAAAACTTTATTTTTATCATCGGTGTAAACCACAATTGACTTTTAAATGAAAATTCAATTCCATTAATTCGCCTATAACATAATCAGTAACCCGATATGGCACAAAAGACATACGACTTTCTCTCTATCTGGTTATGATCTAGTCAACTTGCAGTGTTTCGAATGCGTGTTAAGATTCTCTGCAAACTGCCTGAGCATCATCATCAGCAAGTGGTAAATGAATATAATGAATTCAGCTTAATGCAAAACCAAAACTCAGTCTGAGTGCTCAGATGTTAATTGACACAAGACATTTTTATGATCACATGAAACAAAAAACTCAGCGTAGCTATTATACCTCAAGTCTTAATGTTTTACTTTCTACAAACAGGGCGAAACGTAGCCACATCAAGTCAAAACCCCTTATTTTCTGTAATATACAGTGCTGTTGTTGTACTATAATGGATGCTTATATTAAACATAACCTAAGTTCAAACAATGAAGTCAGCATATGTACAAGTAATCCCTGTGAGCCTAAAACTCAGCCTTCCTACTGCTTTAAAACTGACGTTTCTTCCTACTGTTGGCTCTGTATGATGTCATTAAGAGTTAAGCTGTATGTTTTACAGTCATCACCGGCACACAGCTCTTGACGTGAGCACAGAAGCCCCTCCTACTGCTGTTCAAACCTTTTTGTGGGAAGCAGCCAATCGGGAGGGTTGGCTTTCGGGGTGATACTTCTGTAAAGCTTGTCGTCTCAAACCAACCACTAAAGGACTTTTATACATACATTTATACAGCGCTTTTACGTTTCCACACACCCCGATGGATTAATTAGGGTCAGTATCCAGGATTATACTGTCAACCTTTCTCTCAGAAGATGACCTACTGAGTGTAAAAAGAATAAATACATGGTGCTGGAAATGAGCAGAATAGGTCCCCTTTAAGATATTTAGCCACTGTTTTTGAAGGCACTAAAACTTTAGATTTTAATTCCCTAAATAAATACTAAACCTCTATCTTGCATCAGAGGTAGGCAAGGTTAATGTTAGTGTGATTCATAAGGTTCAATGTTTCTTGCTGACTAAGGTGAATTAAAGATAGACCTATTTTAGTACGAGGTGCTCCTATAGAACTTATGTGGTGTAGGGACAGCACCTGGTCTACTGCAATTCTTACAAATGTAGACATCTTTTCATGTATTTGTGGCTCAAAGGTGTGTTTCAAAAAAGATCAAATTACATAAAGAAACTATAAATAAAAAGGCCTGCAGGTAAACACCAATTATATTTAAATATATATATATAACTAACTATTAATCCTAAATGGTGTACCATAATAATACCACTCAAGGTCACCATCACAGAGAGAAGGGTTTCCAGCACACCTGCTTAGCCGCACAGGTGTCTCCAATTATTGTGGCTGATTAGGCCTGTGCTCAGGTTGAAGGTTTAAGCTAATGGCAAAGCTTCGTGAACCAAAATAACTGGGTGTGTCCTGCGATGTTAAATTTCCACTGTGTTATAGCCAACATCAGGTAATGGAGGTGCTTTTAAAACAATCCTTTCCTGTTCACAGATTTGTGAAGTATAGATGTGGGAAAAGCATTGAAAGCTAGTTTGTGATGCACTACTCAAGGTTGAAACTGATTGTAAACGAAGTTTAATTTCTGTATTTCATCCTTTCATAGCTTTGAAATGTTTTCAAATGGGGGTCAATTTTGCCTTGGATCTAACCAGAAAAAGCAATGTGAACTGAGTTTTTATTGTGCCGTTTATGATGCCGCTGTGCTCAAAAAGCCAGTGTTTCAGGCTGGCATAAGTAGCATATTTGTGTGAGGAAACTGAGCCGAAAACAGACTGAAATCGTTCCAACTGGTGGTGTGCAACTTAAGAGTCTGTAAATGTTTTAGTTTCACCGGCCCAAAGAAGTGCGAGCCAACTCGGGAATGTAACAAAGATGTCAATCAAGCGCAGTCCTCAGAAGGTGTCTGATTGGGAAAGGGAAGCGAAAACGACGCTTAATCTAAAGTTCATCCTGCTAGAAGAATTATATGCAAGTCATTGAGGGTAGAGTGTTTTGGTTTTTGTTTTTTTGTCCCTTTTCATGGAAAGGCACGGCACCTTGCTGTAAGTCTGGGTGTGGTTTGATAGATGTTATCTAACATTTCCTTCCAGCAGCAGACAATCCTTTTGTTTGCTGTGTCAGAAACTGTAAGTCACCACTGGTGTGATATTTTTTTTTTTCTTTTTTTCCTAAGTTCTCCAAAGTTAAAAGTTGAAAATCGAGTCGGCTGTAACACCTTAAACTTAAACATCTCCTAAAGAGGTTGGATTTTTACTCGGATAAAACCTTTTTATTGGAGTAAGAAAGGGTATATGTGACATAAGGAAACTGATAAAGAACCAGGGAAACTTTGACCAGAAGCTTCACTTTCTGGTCAGTTTAACAGAACTTCAACTATGTTAAAACTGTATTTTACTAAAGAAAAATTAAAGTAGATTTCGACTACAGTAATTTCAACTGAGTTGGCACGATGCTGTCTTCATACTGCACATCTGTTTAAATGCTCTTTAAAAAGTTCACGTCACAGCTGAGGTAAATGGGAAAGGTAAGCAGTGAAATCGCATATCAGACATGGATGGGATGTCTACTTTTTCCCCCTCAGCTAATTTCTCCAAACACCAACAGCTGATAGTTTCACTCCAGTCAGCTGTTTTCAAAAACAAACTTTAACGTGTGTCTACAAGAAAGCAGCTGAGGTTAAAACGACAAGAAAATAACACACTAATGTCCAAATTAAACGCTCGCTGTTTGGATACATGCAACCACTGATTTAGAGTACCGAGCGCTGTTTTAAAACTGGGTGTAATTATAGGACGGCTAGTGATTTCTGTTAAAGTTAACTGCGGCGCAGTGCCTGTGTGTCGAGGCTGGTATGAAAGTCGACAACGCTGTTAGTTATTCAAATCCTTTGGCTGAAAGTTGAAATGTGTAGCTTCCTTTCTTACACTTGCTAATGCGGCTAGCTGGCTTTGTTGTATTAGCTGGGTAACCTTCTGGTAAGTGATAGCGTTAAAAAGAAATATGGGGGATAATTTGCCAAGCAGACAGACGCTGCATCCCAGTCATAAACAGAGGCTAGCTTTCCGCTCGCAAGGTTAAAGGGAGGAGTCCCTGAAACCTGCTAACTATCGGTAACCTTTCTCCGCTACTTACCATATGTCTAACTAATAATCGCTGGCTAATTAGCTAACGGTAGCATTAGAGCGTTGAGCTAGCAGTGCGGCGCTAGCCCCCTTTATGCTAGCTAGCGCTAGCACTTTCCTTTCATCTCCTCCCCCAGTCCCGAAATTAGGTTATAATCTGTAATTTCTAAATGCACAATCACAAAAGCCGCAAGCTTTGCGAGGGCGCAGAACGTAACTCCTCAATAATGTCAAAACGGACATCGAAATCTCACCTTAATTAGCGATTAAATAGCCTTGTTGCTGCTGTCAATCCCGGAATAGGTTTATTCCCCCGTTTTAATCCATCAGAAACGCTCACAATTCCCATCCACAATGTAGCTGTGCCATCTGCTAAAACATCGTAATCCGGATCATCACAACGACGACTTCGAGCTCACGTCCCGTTGTCTGCTATTTGTGTATTTTTTTTTCTTAGTTTTATGTCTGTTTTTTCCCCTTAACAGAGCAGGGTGTCCCTTTCCCCTTTCTTTGTTCTGTAATCCAGTAAAATTGAAACTCATTCGCCTCCTGCTAATCCCAGCCCAACTCAACAACAGCATCTATTGGCTGCAATTTACATACAGGATTAACGGAGCAACCTCTGGAAAAACCCTCAGAGAGCAAAATGTACACGGAAAGGAGAATGTCCTTAAAAAATAATAATAGTGAAACGCGCATATATTTTATTTAGACTGTGGCTATTTAAATCACCGTCTGCCACTTGACAGCAACTTCACACATTACTTTGTGTTTTAAGAAATCCTTCATAGACTGCGTAGGTGCTTTGATGCGATAGCTGCGCAGTATCCAAAGTATTTTTAGGATTAGGATCTGTCCAAAGTGGATCTACGGCAGCTACATGGATCTTGTGGCCATGGAAGTTATGCCATAGCTGCAGTGATTGCCCAAAATAGCTCATGTCTGTTTGATATAGGGTAAAGTTCAGATCCTAGAGAAGAGGTGCTTTTCTTTTTTACATTTCCATGCAGGTGTGGAAATATATGAATATTTAAAAATAAGAAAAAGTTTCTAGATTCTGACAAAATGTTTTAACCAGAATTAAAATGTAGTGCTTAAACCTCAATATGTAAAGTTTTTCTGCTTCTCTAGCTCCACTGTGATCTGCATATGTAATATATTGTAGAAGTTGAACTGAATTTATAAACTATAATCCCAGTCTTGGCCATCTGTTATGTAAATAGTTGTGAATGTTTAATTAGTCTTAAAAAAGTCAGTTTTACTATGACCTTTTAACAGCTGTCGTAAGGTCGTTGGCTTCACTTTAGCTTTAGAATTGATTTTTAAAATTTGAGCTCGTATTTTTGTTTTGCTCCACGGTCCGAGACATCAATATCGCTCTGATTGCCAGTAAGCTACGACCCAGCTTGACCCCTCGGGTCAGCAGGATCAGGTTATTTCATGAGTCACAACAAATGGTAATGAAACCCGTTTTAGGTTTTATGCCTTGCAAAGTCTTGTTAGGTGCACTGGACCATTAGAAGTTTAAAAGTAGAAACATGCCTGTTTAGCCATTAGCTGTTAGTCTATAGTTGCTGGTTTTAAACGTAATTGTTCCCAATTTCTGCTTGTTTTCATTTTTGTTTTAGTTTCATTGGACTACTGATGATCTTACTTCATTTTATTTCTACAGTGTTTATTAATGTTAAGTTATATATATTTTTTACACTTATTTGTTTTATGGGTAATATTATTTACATCCAGCTTTATCTGATTTTAGTAAAAAAAAAAAGGATTGTGCTAGAATGTCTGTTATAGCTTATGCTTTGAAACATGCTATATAAATAGCTGCACTATATTTAATGTAAAGAAAAAAGGAACCAAGTAAATCCAAGTGTAACTTTTTACTTGGTTCCTTATTTATTTTTTTAAAACACACAATAAATTGATTGGTTACTTTATTATATTAAATATAAATAAAACTGTTCATATGGCTTTATTAATATTTAACGTAATAAATGGTGAAACTTAGGTTTACTTGGTTATTTTTTTTGATGCACTGGTTACTTTATTACATTAAATAGACATCAGCATGCAATCATTTAACTTGTCCAACCGTCTTAATACCAAGTTTAGTTATACGTGCCCCGTAAACTAACATTAGCTTGATATCCCATCTGTGAGGAAAAGGGAACGTTTCTTTTAAAAGTACTTGGATCATTAAATTTTAATCATAAGTTATTTACATTAAATCCATTGCAATCTCACTAGTTTCAGTTACTTTCCCCTCTTAACTGCTGTGTTCAACTCTGTTTCACCAAGAGCAAAAATGACATCTGTGCCTCATCTATGCTGTGCTTTTACAAATAAGTCACTTCTTACTTATTCAAAATGTCACCTGCATAACCAATCAGCCCTCTAGCAGAAACTGGGACATGTGGATAAGCCCTGACATTTGCCAAGGCCAACAAATAAAACTGATATATCTGGAGGCTAGAAATCTAGAGATTGTAAATTAGTGTGCAGCGTCTGGATGTCTCATCTCCACCGTGTGGCAACTTTTCCCTCATGAAGGATTTATTGCCATCTTTTCTCGCTGATATCACTGCGTTTTATTTAATGACAAATATTTAGCCATGCACATTATGGTTGTTGGCTGAATCTCCTAAACCGCCGAGCCCCTAAATCCGACACCACCGCTTTAAACCAGCTCTGCAGAAATATTCCGATCTGCTGCGCTTGGTCTCAAAAACAAACATGCTGAAAGTCGTATAAGCATGAAAGGGTGTGAAATAAAACACCAGCAGCCCTTGCCTGCATTGTTAATATTTAATGACTCAATCTCCAAAACCATCGCAGCAATACTCCAAAGGGTATGAACCCTCCAGCTGTAAAGGCCATGTACAATATCCAGTGGAAAATTCAGGTTTTATTTGAGCTGACCAGTACCTGCCCTGCATGTGTTCTCAGGGGACACTACTCAAGCCTTTCTGCACACCCCCACCCCACCTCTGTGTAGTGCCTCCTGTGAAGCAATAGCAACCTGTGACCAACTACAAACAGGATCCCCCCCTTAGTTCAGTTTGACAAATGGATAAAAACAATATTTGGAAGACTTAAGAGTATAAATGTTAGAGGCAAATGAAATCCGGATGATTTTGATCCAGGGAAGGACGAACGTAACTTCCCACACTGCTGTTTGGGTTTTAGCTCCTGGGAAAGCCCTTCAGAAGACTTCAGAAAGGGTCAGTAAAGAAATCCAGGGCCATTACAATAGGCTCACACTGTATTTTGTACCATATATAGTAAATTAACACAAAGCCACCGATCAGAGAAAGATGTATTGATGCGCGGTCAGACAGTTTTAGACAATGAAAAAGTCTGAAATGGTTCACTGTATTTGTACTACAAATGTCCTGCAACGTCTCCCAGGTTCAGTCTGCACAATGAGTCCACTGATGTGTAAATGGCTGAAAGGCTTAACAAACACCTTAAGGGAGGATTGGTAGTAACATCATCACCATCAGTCCTGTAACAGATGACGCTCTTCATGTGTGTTGGCGAGGGAGGGCGGGGTCTTCCAAGACGGGAAGAGGTTGATTTTGTATTTTATCCTTGGATCAGAAATGACCGTTAAAAGAGCTCCAGTCAACATTTAAACGACCACACTGAACCTAACTTTGTGCTCATCGTGCTTCTACCAGTAGACGTACATTAAGGCGCTTTGGGACCAAATGGTTCTGAGGAGCTGCCTGAGAACTTCATAACTTCAAGGGTGTTTTTCCTGTTTGCTGCAAACAAATGTTGACCAGGCGGTGGCTGTAGAGGAATAGAAATGATCCCACTGTTCAGTAAAGCACGTCCTTCACTGTCCTTATATTCTGTTTACATTAGGCTTATTACACTTTTCCTTATGTATATACTGTTATCATGGTGACTGCTCATATTAAACATGGCCAAGCTTTCAAACGCTCAGGTCAACATCCAGCACTGTGCTGGATCAGTACATACTCGGTCTGCAGACAGGACAGCATTGCTTTGTACTATTCTTCCACCTTCTCTGTCATCTTCTCCTATATTGCAACAAACTGTTGCTTTTGTATTTGTTCAGTGCTCATGTTCCTTTTAAAAACACAAAGTTGAAAAGTGACTGTAAAAACTGGTTATTTTCACAAAGTTGGTAGCAGAGATGCTATTACTATAGTGTAATGTTGTAGTTACTATGGCGAGTGCCCTGAGATGACTTGTTTTGATCTGGTGCAGTGTAACTAAAATTGAGTTCAAATAATTCTGGATTAAGGGTAATGTTTGCTACCAATCCTCATCAGATATCAAGCAAGGTGAGACACGAGTCAAACTTCCTTTAAAATAAAAACAAAATCAGGCCATCAGCTCACGTATAGCAGACAGGATTATTACAAAGCCAAGGAGCAAAATAAAAGTAATAAATAAAACAAAGCGACTGAGACCCAGTTTTTCTTCTCGTCGTCCATCAGTCTTTTTGCTTTCTTCGTCAAAATTCAGCGCAGTCATTCAGACTTCAGCGAATGACAAAACTTCAAATTTTCTAACTAATGTAAAGCATCAAAAGTTGCCACACTGCCAGTTCTCAGCAGTTGTTGAGCTGATAATCTCTTCACGTCCATATCTCTTTTTTTATTTTTTCCTGTTTAAAGTACTTTTAAGTGGTCTTCATGATTGGCTAATAGGTGCTTTCTGTAACAACACATATATTCACTTGAGACAGAGATTCGCTGTTTTGGTATTAACTGTAAACTGAAATGTTTCAGGCGTCCACCGCAGCATCGGGAGACACGTCGGACCAAACTTTGACGTTTCAGGTGTACTTCAGCACGTCCCAGTTCACTCGGGGTCACGTCAGCGTCCCACTCTCATCGCTTCTGCTCATATCAGTGTTGTTCCTAGGGAAGGAAACGTAAAGCATGTCTTCCTTAAAATGTATTATTTTTATTATTAAATCAATGACTGAAAAAAGCAAAAGGAAAGAATACCAACATCTTGAGCGCTGTGTGACTCCTGGTGGTGAATTCCATTAGCCGAATTTGCACCGTGGACCTGGAAAACAGTCAGAAATGATCATTTTAGTCCTGTTCTTGGCCTGATTGGACATTAGAAGACCTGTTCAGGTGACCTGGGTTTTAACATCTTAAAACAGTCTTAATAGCTACCATTTGTAGGAGACTGATGGGATTTGGTACCAGAAACGTTCTGGTTCTGGCTGCATGCATGCAGTCTAGGTGGGGATTGAAAGCGTGATTGCATTTGCTGCCTGCAGAGGCCTTTCTGTGGAGTGTTTGCACGTACTCCCTATGTCTGCCTGGGTTTATTCCCCAAACACAAACTAGCTGTAGTATGGATATGTGATTGTGTGGTTGCATGTTTCTCCATCTTGTTTTTTTTTTTTTTTAAAAATTTACCGGGCTTTTTTCTGGATTCTTCCGCATGGCCTGGACCAGCTGGTCGACTTGTTGGTTGTGCTCTAAGGCGTTCCTCAGGGCTTCCTCAGTGCTGAGCAGCCGTTGGCGCAGACGGGTCACCTCCGAGTCCAGAGCCGAGGGGTCTAGCATCGAGTACCGCCGGTGGTCAGGGGAGGATCGTTCCCGACCCTGAAAGAACCGCACAAGCTAACTGGTAAGTAAGTTAAATCATCCAAACTGTATTAGGTTTATGGGTTTTGTATATATTTCTTTTGTTTTTAACGCACTTCAAGTACTTTGTAGTGAAACAAGTGCAAAGAGCAGGCTTCTATTACCCATTTTACAGGATTTACATCATGTAGTTTACATGAAACTTTATACATGTGTTTAAATCGTTATAATCTGTTACTCTAATGTAGATAAAGTCATAATAAAATGAATCGATAATACTCAAACCAATCTATTCTTTAAATAGCTCTATTATTATCACTTTAACATTCAGAGCAATCTATTGACTTTGAAGGAGAGGTCAGAGGTCAAATGTGACATATTTTAGACAGTACTCTGTGGACACGACATAAGTCAGATCCAGATCAAGCTGAAGTATGGATTAGGTCCTAAATCAATCCATTAGTGGGTGAGCAAATTATTTTCCAGGAAATTATTATAAAAGAAATGAGGTTAAAATTGACTTTTTGTGGAGAAGGTACACATGTAAGCATGAGTGTTACCTTATTTAAGATTCCCAAATGCTTTAATGTATTTGATAAACAAAAGTGTACATTATGCCCGTCTTATAAAAAATGTTAAAAATTAAAAAGTTATGTTATGTATTTATAATTATAACTTTCCTTTAGAAGGAAAAGCCTCTGTAGCAGGTGCCATAAATGCTTAATACATATTTGTAACTGAATTTAACTGCAGGAAAAAACCCAAAGTGCACAAAGTTTAAAAACTGTTTTGCTTTTTCAAAATAAAATAACAGCATGTTTGCTAGTTAGAATCGCTCACCTGAAAAAACAGCTCTAATACTTTCTGTTGCCCTTGAGTAGGCTGATCAATTTGTGAAAACAGTCCATTGTTATAAGTTCAGTTTTGAACATGAAATCTCAAGCAGGCAAGTGACTGTATTTCAGTGCAAATTACCAAACTATTTCTTTACCTGACAGAAAGTCTGGTGTCTTTATTTTAAATGAAAGATTAAACCTTCAGTGTTAAATGATCTTTCCAGGGAAAGTTGAGCATGCTCAAAATCCAAATTTATAAAACAGACTGAAATCGAGGCAATTTCAGTATGAAAGCTGGTTACTTCCAGAAATAATGCTGTAAAGTCATTCATGCGAGATAATGAAATGGGAATAAAGTAAACATACTAACAAAGCAAACTTCTCCTCATCATCATCGTGAACCCAAAACCGTCTTTACAGCAGACCAACATGGACTGAAAAGCACCTGAGAATCTAGGGTATGTTCACACTAGGGCTGTGACCAAAATCTCATATCCCTTCCCAGATGCCTTAATGCCCACCTACACCCTGGGCCATCTGACCTCAGGAAATCACATGATAGGGTGGAGCCAGGTTTCCCAATGAGCTCACCTGAAACCCTGGCTGATTGTGACCTACACCCGTTTTCACACCTTGGCTCATGTGATTAGGTAGAGGATCATTAGGTCTATTGTCCCTCGTGGGGGGGAAACTCCCACAGGGCTTAAATCTGGGACTGTCCACCATTTGACACTAGAACTGAAGAAGCTTCTCGGATGAGAGGTGAAACGTCTTCAAGCAACTTAAAGAAGTCCAGACGCTTTTCTTTCTAAGCTCCTTAGACTACAATGACCTGGATGACTGAGAACCTTCACCGACATCCCGATTTTTCTCGTCCATGTCAGAATTTTCATAACGAAACCATGTCCATGCTACAGAGGTAGCCCCTCGTTTAGGACTAAGGATTTGTTTTGACTGGTCTTTCTGTTTGGAACTACCTGGTTCTGCCTGATCTTTACTGGCCATGCTGGTATTCTCTGTGCCTGCATCCACGTGGTGACTGTAAACGCCATTTATAGTTACTACTTGTATTCATTTGAGGTAATTTGTTTGCTGCATATTCTGAAATTTGAGGTTTGAGAATAATGTAGTTTGTCGTCATTTCAGTTTATTTTGAAAAACCTCAACAGGATCTTCAGCTTTATTGTGAAAGGTTTATGTGGAAAATAATCAAGCGGAGCCACACAATGGTTTTACCATCATTGTTACTGTCATATCGAACAGCCCTAGCTCACACTGTATACACTGATAAAATTCTTTATCAGAAAACTAGAAACCAGCGAGTTTATTGTCAGTAAATTATCATCCAGGTTATCTTAAGTAAGGCTTTTCAACCAATGTTTATATTTCATATGCTAAAAGAAATGTGTGCTTCATAGTTGGGACCACTGAACCTGTGAAAACAAATGTATAATCACACAAATCACAGGCCAGGCTTATCAAGGTGCTGATTCTCCTGTATTTCTAAACTTAGTTTTTAACATTAATTTAAATAACAAAAAAGAAAAGCCTCAAAATGTGGGACCGACATGTGGTTTAGTCTTGTCCAATCATTCCACGGTGCTTTGTTCTCACCAGTAAAAGCAGTTTTTCTCGCAGCGTCTTGATGTCATCCTGAAGTTTCTGCTCCTTGACCTTCCACTCAGCCTTGTGGACCTCTCGGCTCAGGTCTTTGTCCATATCCCGGGAATGACGATGTGATTCCAGGAGTAACACCCTCAGCTCATTCAGACTTCTGTGATTTAAAAAAAACCACACACACACAGAGGGGAAAAGTTGCTTTGTGTCTGTGTTTCTGGTTTCCTGACCTGCAGAAATGCAGTAAGAACTGGACTCTTCAGAGGTGGTAAAAGCACCACAGTTTCCCTGTCAAGGATTATATGAATCACTCGCTTTGCTCAGACCCTGCTCAAAGATCATTATTATCCAAAAGCAATCACAATATGTGAATATGTCAGGCAGACAGGCCGGTGGGAATAGCGTAGGCGGCACTGCTCCTGCTACTTACTCCAAGTATACATCATCTTAAGTACACTGGCTGTTTGCCGACATACTTGCATCAGTAAACCACATTTACACCGGGGAACAGTTTTCTGTACCTTTGCACTGCATGCTAGCCAAAGGTTTTAGCAACTTTAACATGTTTCCTGCACTCGTGGAAATATTTCATCTCAACAAAACAGTGTTATTTTCATCTTTCTAAGAAGCGCTCCGGGTGTTTTCTCTGTAAGAACATCTTTTCCGTCTGGTCTAATCGATACATTAACAGATTATGTGCTGTGGTGTAACGTGAGTCTGTTGCTAAGAGGTGTGGCAGGTTTATGAGGTGAGAGATGCATCATTATATCAAAAGTCTGTTCAAAGCCTGTTTTAAAATGAGTGGAAGCAGGGCTGTGGAATTAATCTAATTTTATTTTCAATTACAATTTTGGCCTCCAGTGATCATTAAAACAATTACAAAACTATTACTGCGCCACATTTCGCTTCACCAAGGCGCTCCCGTTTTATCTTTCACTGCAACCCCCTTTTTCCCCAAATTCTACCAAGCTGTGACAGACTTAGTTCAGTTTATTTTTTAAATAAGTTAAATTCTAATCAACATACAAAGACATCTACTTATAAAGGAAAACTTTTTAAAGGGTTTATTAAAATTTTGATTTAATTAAGTCTATCAATGATCTGAATATTGACCAAAATAATTAGAATTTTTCCCATTAATTAAAAAGTCAATTTCATGAAAAGTTGCTTGAATTTTTCATGATTAAAGGAAAGTCCTCCATGATTACTGACAAAACACCTCAGTCACCACAACTTACACACACACACACACACACACAGTGTGTGTGTCTTTGACCCAGGTGGGCTGCTCTGAGTACTTCAGAAGCTGCTGATCTACTACTCTACTTTTCCTCGACTACCAACTGTAGGGTTTACAAAGAATCCGTGAAGTGAGCAGCAGTTCTCTGGGTGAAAATGCTTTGTTGATATCAGAGCTCAAAGGAAAATGGCCTGACCACCTGAAGGTGTTAGGTGGGCAACGGTAACTCAAATAACCACTTGTCACAATCAAGTCAAACAGAAGAGCATCTCTGAACACATCGTGCTTTAAACCTTGAAGCAGATGAGCTACAGCAGCAGAGGACCACACTGGGTCCCACTCCAGCCTACTTTTGCACAGGCTCATTAAAATTAGAAAAACGCTGCTTGGTCTGTTCTGAGTTTCGATTTCTGCTGTGACATTCAGATACATATCCATCCTGCATGCTACCATCAGGTTGCTGATGTTGGTATGACAGAGTGGACTCTTTGGGTCCCTACTGTTGCTGATCATGTCATTCCCTTCATGACTGTACTGATTACCCCTGTCATGCAGCGGGCACCATGCCCCAAACCTCAAATCATCTCAAACTGCTTTCTTAAACTTGACACTGATTTCACTGGGATGTGGTGGGATTGTATCATGAATGTGCAGCCAACAAATCTGCAGCAGCTTTGTGATGCTATCATGAACCGAAAGTCTCTGAGCAATGTTTCCAGCACCTTGTTGAATCTGTGCCATGAATAATTAAAGGACGTCTGAAGGCAAAAGATCCAACCTGGTGCTAGAAAGGTGTTCCTAAAGAAGTGGCAGGCGAGTGTATGTCACATGCTGAAATACCAGCTTTATCACTGAGGACCCTAATGTATACCCAACTCTAATTAATTAGTGCGGTAGTTCACTAACATCATAATCATGAATAATGTAGGGGCTGCATAATGTCAGAATAATGGAAAACAACTTTTTCAACAGCGCTGCAGAAAAACACATTTTCTGAATGGCTTAATGAACAAAGGAGCGACCCTGCGCCTCTGCAACGATGCACTGGCTGCCTTTTACACTTGGGTGGTTAAATAATGACCATATTAAGCAGAGTGGGGCTTTTTTTTGTTTTTTTTTTTTGGACAGTGTGCACTAAACTCTACCAGACTCTTCAGTATAGAGAGGTGGCCATCTGGCAGGTCTTTGTTGGAGATGAAACCTCAGCCAGCTGCTCTCAGTGACTTCAGGCACCGCTTTAAAGGAGGTGCGGAGCGGCCGTATGTGCTGGCACAAAGTCAGATATTTTCATAAAGCTTCTGACAGAAGCACGAGCAGTCATCCATCACTTTAGAGCTGCGTCGGTGTTTCTGCTTTATCACTCGGTCGAATGATGGTGTGAAATGTAAAAAAGGTCTGCGATTCATTACAGACATTTTTTTGTTACTCAGGTGAAAAATAAAAATCTTTGGGGTGTGTGTGTGTGTGTGTGTGTGTGTGTGTGTTATGCCTATAAGGCATAATGCATTTTAACATAGTTCCAATATGGATTATGAAGCAGGTTATAGCTATTGCTAGTTTCCAACCCGTGTCTCTTGTTGGGTTTCTACATTTGCAAACCACAAACAAAAACTACAACATTAAATTACATAAAATGCCACAGAAACTTCTTTGTCTTCTCCAGAAAATGGAGAAAATGCATCATAAATCAAAACCTCTTAGTATCAGAGTAACTGCAAGAACAACCGGATGAAAAGCAAAAAGGAAGGAGGAGCAGTGCTTCAAGGTCATGCAATAAGTGCTGGTGGTGTCTGCATGTATAATACACTGGTGTCATCCTTCGCTGCTGTTATTGAGAAAGTGCTGAGGCAGAATGTCAAATCAATACAGTCTCCGTGTCAAATTACCTCTCCTTCTTCAGCAGCTCCTGGCTGATGCTCACTAGCTGCCCAGAGGCATCATGGGATTTCTTGGTCATGGACTCTAGCTCTGCCTCCATGCGCGTCTTCTCCTTGGCCAGGGCTTCGGCTCTCTTCTCCCCGCTGCGAACTTTGCCCTCCAGCGCTAAAAACAAATCGATAGTTTGCAACACTAGTTATTAATAACTTTAACACAGCTGTGCTAATCAGAACTGTGATCATAAAGAACTTACTATTTTCAATTAATGCTATAAATGCATTTTAAATCAGATCAGGCGATCACATTTGGGAAGGATTCTGACAAATTTCTATATGCTCACTTTTAATTCTATGCCTGCAACGAGCTTCAAAAAAGAGGCACGTTTACCTCTCTATTTCATCAGCTCTTCTTTTAACACTGCTCTTTTATAACTCTGAAGCTTTTTTCCCCACTTTTGTTCAGTGCAACTCGTTCAGCTCAACAGTATTTTTTTTTTTATTTCAATATATTTCTGGGTGACGATCAAAGAGTGTAACGGTGAAGAACACGTTCCCCCGCGCGATGAACTCGGCGTGACTGTCGGAAAATAAAGCCTCCAGTCGCCGCACAAACATGCATATTTTTTTATTTTTTTATTTATTGAGAGAGAGAGCTGACAAGTTCTCAGTTTAAAACCTAAACTTGAAGGAAATGCTGCAGGAAAATATCAAGCTTCGCCTCTCTTTATCCTGAAATGAAACACCTGTACGTGAAAGACACAATGCCTCCGCAGAAACTCAATATTTCAGGATATCTTGTCACGAAAGCGCTGAAAGAACAAAGACGTCGGCGAGCTCGGGAAAAGGGCGCTGCGCGCTTGTTTACCTCCGATTTGTGATTTGAGGGCTTCAACCTGGGAAGTGAGAGTAGAGACTTCTTTTTCCCTTTTCAGCAGCTTCTCCATTGTTTCTGCGGAAAAACAACATAACAGCCATGAGACGCCTCGCTCACACAACGCGCCGATGATCCAAATCAGTGCAGTGATTTGTGACTGGAGTGCCACAAAGTTTTCCACAGTTTTGTGTTACTTCCTTATCTGTCACTTGGCAGGATACAGTGAAATCCTATGAAGTTATTGGACAGACGCCCTTGTGTACCAGAAGAGCTGCGATTTTCTCGAGCTTTTTAGCCATTAGACGCTTAAGTGAGATTTATGTAACAAGACAGAGGCTTGTGAGGTCTGTATTTATAGACTGTGACTCAGGAAATCTATTTTATTTCACAAAGACATACGCATAATGAGTACTGGTCAGTATTTAGTACCTCGGAATACATTATAACCTCATATATAGGATATTTTAACTTGACATATTTTTAACCAGTTTAGGGAACTGATTTGCTTCCTATTTTGTTATTATAAATACAAGGCCCTTTTGTAACCACTAGCCTTTTAGCTTAGCTTAGCACAAACAGTGGAAATAACTAGTCTGGCTCGCTTCAGCAGAGCAACAAAATCCACATCTCAGCTTTGCTTGTATGTGGAAATGACTGTCTGGTGTTTGTGTCTTCATGTGTTCCCAAAATAACGGGGAAAAAGTGAATCTGAATGACAAAAACTACCAGCGCCTGCTGAGTAGTTGATGCTTAACTCCCAGAAATGTGTCGGACTAGTCAAAAAACAAAGGTGTTTTTATGTTGACAAAAATTACAAGATTAAAAGGGAATTAGTGGTGAAAAGCAGATGGAAGTAGGCCGAAGTGGTCTCTATACAATATTATTTTTACAACACATTCTCAGGAGCAAGGAGGGCGGCATTATTCCTAAAATGTTGAGCTCTTTCTTTAAAGTTGTTACGTTCCTTTTTTCCTGCCAAGCTTTTTAAATTTCTTATCTCTCGAGTGCATACATGGGTAATATGACGAGAACAATGGGAAGTAACACTTTGGGAATCACTGGGACGTAAGAACAAGGAGCAAAAAGCACAAACGTGATTAAACTAAGAAAGCAGATCAGCTGAAGTGTGTGTGATTGGTGTGCTTTTTTTCATGAATCTGTAGTCGGGATTAAGATAAACACAAACATACCTTCTATGTTCTGTTTTAGCTTCATCTTCTCATCTGAAATTTCATTATCTTCTATCACCTGAAAGAGGAGAAAGTGTCAGGTGCTGAGTTTGTATCTGAACACTGCAGGTGCCTCTTTCTCCTCAGCCACTCACATTAGCATCATTAGATGTGAAGCGCTCGGCCTGGATGGCCTGGAGCTGGTTGGCCGTCACCCTCAGCTTCTCCTCGAGTTTCTGGATCTCTTCTTGGCTCGCCTCCTGAGCTTTCTGCAGAGCCTGGTAGTCCGTCATCTGCTTCTCTGACAGCTCCAGCCTCTCCCTCAGCTCTTCCGCTCTTTTGTTCTGCTCCATCTGAAGCGTCTCCATATCTGCCAGCCTCTGCTCCGCCTTCTGTAGCTTATCCGTAGCTGCCTCCAGCGCGTGCTTTCCACTTTTGGCTTCCAATTCAGCCCTCCATGTCTGGTTGCCTTGAGCCAGCTGGTCTTTGGCCTCCTGCAGACGAGCGCAGAGGTCCTCTCGTTCCTTTGTCAGGATGGCAGCTTCAATTTTATGTTTGGCCTTGAGGTTCTCCACCTCTAGCTGGTGCTCCATCTTCAGGCTTTCCAGGGTTGCTCTCAGCTCCTGGGTGTCCTGCTCTTGACCTTCTGTAGCGGTATGACTACTGCTCAGTGTTGCCTTTAGTTCCTCCAAGGATCGCTGGTGGTCACTGACTAAAGTGTCAAATTTAGCCTGCAAGAGAAAGGGAGAAAGATCGCTTTTAGGTCATACTTGCTGCATTTGTGAAACGAATCAATTCAAATCATCTAGTAACCATTCAGGGGATAATGCAACCCAAAGATTTAACATGCATGCTTTTAAAAATTTGAATAGTTAACTCTAATCTCATTGTGTGTGATTGTGTCTGGTTGTGCAGACTGCTTGGTGCAGGATCTGCAGTGCTGCAGATGCTCACTGGTCTGTTGTGGTGAAGAGAGAGCTGAACGTGAAGGCAAACCTGTGGATTTCTGAGTCACTAAATTGCCAAATGCATTCACTCCTCCATCCAAGTCATTGAATTCAGGTGTTCTAATCACTCCCATGGCCACAGGTGTATAAAATCAAACACATAAGCGTTCACAAACATTTGTGAAAGACTGGGTCGCTCTCAGGAGCTCAGTGAGCGTGCCACTGTGACAGGATGGCACCTGTGCAAGTCCAGTCGTGAAATTTCATCCCTACTAAATATTCCACAGTCAACTGTTAGTGGTATTATAATGAAGTGGAAGTGATTAGGAACGACAAAAACTCAGCCACAAAGTGGTAGGCTAAATAAAATCTCAGAGTGGGTCAATAGATTCTGAGGTGAAGAGCACGCAGAGGTCATCAATTTTCTGCAGTGTCAATCACTACAGACCTCCAAACCTTCAGATTAGCTCAACAACAGTGTGTAGGGAGCGTCATCAAATGGGTTTCCATGGCTGATGCAGCTGTGTAAAGCATGCTACCACTGGACTAGAGCAGCAGAGATGCGGTCTCTGGAGTGATGAATCACGCTTCTGCCTAGCAATCCGATGGATGAGTGTAGGTAGGTTTGGTGGTTGCCAGGAGAACAATGCTTGTCTGACTGCAGTGTAAAGTTTGGTGGAGGAGGGATTATGGTGTGTGGTTGGTTTTCAGCAGTTGGACTCGGCCCCTTAGGTCCAGTAAAAAGAACTCTCAATGCTTCAGGATACCAGGACATATTGGATGATTTCATGCTCCCAACTTTGTGGGAACAGTTTGGGGATGGCCCCTTCCTGTTCCAACGTGACCGTGCACTTTTGTGCAAACAAGGTCCTTAAAGACATGGATGAGCAAGTTTAGTGTGGAAGAACTTGACTGGCCTGCACAGGGTCCCGACCTCAACCTGAAAGAAAACCTTTGGGACGAACTAGAGCAAAGACTGTGAGCCAGGTCTTCTTATTCAACATCAGTGTCTGAGCTCACGAATTTGCTTCTGGAAGAATGGTCGGATCTTCCCATAAACACACTAAACCCTGTGGAAAACCTTCCCAGAAGCTTTTATAACTGTAAAGGGTGGGCTGGATTAAGAATGGGATGTCATATGTTCTTGAAGGCAGACGAGCGAATACTTTTGGCAATATAGTCCATGTTTCAGTTTGTGGTCATACTTTACCTACGACCACAAATGCAAGTGTATTTTCACACTGCTTTAAATGCCTGTTTGAATTTCAAGACTTGGTTTCAGGGTTGAAGTTAGAGTTAGGTTTAGGTTAGGCTGCCATGTTTGAATTGGGTGGAATGTACGGATGATGAGATGAGTGAAGAAGGGCTGGACACAGAGAGACTTCTCAAATTACATTTTGATGTAACATTCTTATTCTTGTTATAGCCACCCTGATTTACCCTTTTTTCTTTTTGTAAATCCTTTGAAATTTTGTAAGCAAAACTGAATCCTGCTCTAAATGAAGGATTCCTACAAACACATAACTGCACTGACATGACCACACTACTCTGGCTGACTTGAAGACAGTTATAAAAAACAGAGCAGCGTACCTTCCAGGTGTCCATCATTTCCACGTTTTCCTTGGTAGCCTGTTGAGCTTTCTGTTTCATCTCATTGATCTCCACGTTCTGTTTCTCCACGACAGCCTTCAATGAGTCGATCTCCTGCTGGCTTGCTGCTAAGGCAGTCTCGTACTTCTCTCTGAGCTCGCTGCTCTCCTTGTAGTGCTCCCGGCCCGCTGACACCAGCTGCTCGCGCAGCAGGAGGGTCTCTGGCTGGGCGTCGGACCCCTGGGCCGCATCAGCACGGTCAACTTTCTGCCAGCTTGCATCAGCCCCTTTGAGCTGGACCTGGAGATTCGTGATCTCGGCTCTCCTGAGGCTGAGCTCCTCCTCCAACTGCATGATGCGGCTCTTCTCTTCAACTGTAGTTTGCTGATGAGAAAGAAAGCAAGAACCCAGCACTGCTTTTGAAAGTTTTTTTTTTTTTTTTTTTTTTTTCCCTAAGGAGAAACATGTTCTTTCTATAAAGTAATTGTATTTACTACAACAGGTGGAAGACCCTGCAACAGACTGTCATTCCAAAGAAACAAAGGTGATGTGACGAAGAGCGGAAATCAGCCCATAAGAAAAGGAAAACAGAGAAATCTATGCAGGTCCTGGAGATGACCAAGTGCATTGCAGAGGATTTACAGTACAAACATGTGACATAAAGTATGTGGACAGCAACAGATTGTTCAACAGTTTGGCTCCCAGTGAAGATGCTACAATGACTCTCAGAGTATTTTTTTCTCATTGGTATTTTTTGAAAAAGTTATAACACATAACTGCAAACAAAGTTTGGATGTGTGCATACAGGGTGTAATTTGTTGGGATTTACTGCTGCTAAAACGTGCAGCCAGCGAGGATGATGTCCTAACTAATTTGCCATTAAATGAAAAACCATATCTGATTTCAATCTGGCCTATTTCGCTTTCAGTCTCAACTCTTTGGATAGCGCTGGACCACGTCCAGTGTGGCTGCAAATTTTAAAATGCTCTGCTCTAACTACTCAGACCGGTGCACATGCTGTATGTGAAAACGTGTCAAATCAGCCGCCCATCAACTTGAATTTTATTTTGTGGAAGAGGCGAAGCAGATTTAGAGATTAGGACGGATGATGCACGAATTTTGCATCTGTGTGGGCTGCGTGCAAGAAGACAATGCATGAGGTGCGCCTCCCTTCAGGTCGTTTATGCTGAACGTTCTCCCTCAGACACGTCGGGAAGTTATAGTAATACCCTGCAACAAAATCAAAAGAACAAACACGTCCCGGTCACGTTCCCAACCTGATGTGATGCTTTCAGGCTTGGATACTGCAGAGTGTTCAGCTGAAAACTGCTGCTGGTTGGACCAGGCTGATCTGTGTAAGAGGTTGAGGTCCATGGTTAAACTGTACATGTGTAAATCCAGGTGATGAGAACGTGACACTAAAAACTCCAGCTGTGCCTAAACCTTGAAGGGGTAATGGGCCAAATTTAAATCCGGTATGACCTTCGATTTTTATTTATTTCGTTATTTTTTTTTATTTTATTTTTCCAGCTTAGGCCCAGAAGTTTATCACCCCACCTCTTTACTTCCTAAGAATTCTGTACCAAGCTACCCGGCACCACCTGGTAGACTTATGCAACTAACTGGTGAACACAGGAGAACATTTAGTGTCTAATCCTAAAATAAAAACTACTTTCAGCTGCTCCCTTGTCACATGGAGTCACCACAGCAGGTAGCAGCTGTTGTTTAGTTTGGCAGAGTTTACGCGGGATGCCCCTCCTGACCAAACGGCGATTTTTGTGTCTGGTGTCTGGAATGGAACCAGTGACCTTTTACTTGTTTACTTTTTAAAACCTTAAGGTTTTAGTTGCATCACTTAATATTTAGGAAGATATCCTTGATTTTTAGAGGGTTAGGTTTGTTCTTTTTTTTTTATTTTTTTTTTTTTATATACTTCCACTTGCCTCACTGAAAAGTATCTATTGGTTCAACCACTTTTTTGTGGCAAACATTTTCAGGAGTTGGTGAAAACAAAAATTAAGTCCAAAACAGAGCAAATATCGGCAAGACTTATAAATAAGCCAACTGAGGGCTATTCCTTTCATTTAACTTCTTAAAGAACTCTGACGAAGCTTCATGTTCTTATTTGGGTGCAGATAGCTTCACAGAGCTGCCTGGAGCAGCACAGTCGCTCGGGGCTAAACTGGCATTTTGTCAGAAATAACACGAAGCCAACATACAGCAGAGGAAAAACACATTACACAAAGACAGAATGGAGGTTAACTCCCTATCCTGCTGAGGGCATTTGAGATTTTCACTCTTACAACATAAATATGAGTGATGCAACACCCACAAGTTCCTCAAGATTCCCATTAATATTACCGGTAAGATGTCTGGTAACTTTAATGATGATGAATATCAAAGCAGGAAACTGTGGAACATGTGGACATAAAATCTTGATGTATGAAAATACTGTTGGGAACTTTGTGTTAATATATTTATTTAGTGTAATTAATATAGGTGAAATATCTTTAATAAATTAGGCTGGGGCATTAGCGAGCGTTGCTTATTAATGAATCTGCCAATAGTCGCTCTGTTTTTAATCATTTTTCTGTCTCCGACCAACTCCGTCAGGAAAGACTGGGCTTTTTAAAAGTGCTGAACACAGTTTGCCATCAGTAGCTGACACACCCGTCTACTTATCAGAACTTACTTCTCTAATAATAGCTGCCTTGCTCTGCTTGAGGCCGAAAAACCAAAAATAATGACCAAGGAGACTCTGAAATGCCGAGCATAGAGGACAGACAGCTGGGTAATAATTCTGTGTGGGTTATGCAACCACTTGCAAGGTCATTGAATCTGTTGTTTATATTAAAATATTGACTAAGAGAGCTTTAAGTCTTCTACAGATGGCGGATGGATTTTGCCATCCCTTTTTTCCCCTTTCCCTGGCTGTTCACAACTGCAGTCACTCGTAATTTTAGAGGAACACCATCAAAACACTGGCACCGGTCAGGGTTTGCATTTCACTCGGGATCAAAGTCCAAATAAACCATCAGAATTATTACGCTGCCCTCATAATAACGCGGAAAGCCTGCACTTAAATGCTAAAGCCATTGTATCATTTCCATCCAAAATAATTAAAGCGAGGAGCCAAAAGGATCAACTTGTCGCTGTCCAAACATTTGTGGAGCTCAGTGTGCAAAAACCAAAGGTGGAAAATGAAAGGAGAGCGCAGCCATTCTCTGATCTTCTAGAAGCAGCCAAGCAAATATAATACAGCAAACCTCAACAGTGACATATGCACAGCTGCAAACATCCTCCACACATTTGTTTCCAATCAGAATGAAAAAGAAAAACAGCCAAAAAAAAACTGAGATTAAGATTGAGGACCTGCTGCACAGTGCACAGATGTTAATTTCAACCCAGATCCCAGCTGACCAGACCAGAGTTACTAGCTCATTCACACCAGAGACGCTGCCTGAGTAGCATTCAGATGACGTCGCACGCACACACACACACACACACACGCACGCACACAGAGGAGTAAAAGAGTCTATGCAAGGTTAATGTCCTCAACAGCATCTGAAGTCGATTTGAAGTCAGGAACTGAGATAGCTCAAGAGAGGATCAAAGCCAAAACAAGATCAAATCTTTTTTTTTTCTTTTTTTTTCACCTTGGTTCTCTTACCCAACCTCAAGGATACCGCTTCATGAGTGCATCTTCCCTGTTGGCAGAAGCAGACCTTACTGCATATACGAATCCAAGCATTTCAAAGTGTTTTGTTATCTTTTGATGGCTGAAAATTGAAAGCTTGCGCGGTTTGATTTGTGATACCGTGGTCTATTATTAAAGAGCCTGTCTACGTGGAGCGCAGCGCTGCATGTCAAAGTGGTGTAAAGGACGTCCTTCGCGGCGCCGACTAAAATGGGCGGCACCGCCTATGATTTGTCTTGAAAAATTTATCGAAGCGTCCGTAATGGATCCCGTAAATAATTTAGCGACTTCTCGTGTGTTACTAATTACATAACTGCTCAAAAATTGGTGTGGCGCCTGGGGAGATTCATCCTCCACAGCTTAAGTGGAAGGGGGCCGTTTCGAGTGATACGTCCCGACGTCTCAAAGTGCAGCAGGCGACAGATCTGAAAGCCAGCTTTGGATTTAAAGGGGGGGAAAAAAACACCATTTAAATAAAAATTAATGGCAGCTAATTGCAACATTAGACAAAAGAAAAGCTGAAGCAGCTGCGAGCCTCGGTTTTCTGATTACAAGCGATGGAATGAAGCAGAGGAAGGCCCAGATGAAGCCAGTCTGGTTAATGATCATGTGTAATGTGAAGAGCTGTGACCAACACCCACTATCATTTTAAGTAAATAACAAACTTCATATTTCCACTACTTTCCCATCTATTTCTAAATATTAAAGCTGGTAATATTCCATAGATACATTGTTGATTATAAACAAATCCATGAAAAGACCAAAACCAGATCTACTAAGACCTTATTTATCCTGGGTTTGAGTTAGGTGGGAGCTGATATAACAGCCATGACTGACACAAACTGTGCTTTTTTTCAGTTTGATTCACATTAAAAGGCTTAAAAAATACGTATGTTGCATGCATGTACTATTCACATTAAGAGAATGCAAACTAGAGACTACAGAAAACGTCTGAAAAGTGAAGCCATTCTCCCCGCTTACTCTGGTTGTTAAAAGAAGCCCAGATGTATAGATGTCTATGGGGAAAATGTCTCTACTTCTCACTTAAACTCATCACAAAAGTGTTTACTGAGGTCAGAGGTCAAGGTCTCAGGTGCTAGTTTGAAGCCATACTCAATAAAATATGAGAGCTTTGTACAACACAGACCTCATTACAGTTGCAAAAGGAAGGAATCCATTGTGATTTATTATTGCAATTTATCACCATATGATCGTGCAATGACCCCCTCGATCATTACGTGCAGTTTCACTGATCAGGCTAGCAAGCTGAGCCATCAATGAAGCAAAACTGTGTATGCACAGTATAAGTACAGGGAGAAAAGTCAAAGTTACCAGACTCTTTAAAGAGGTTTTTACTGGATTTGACCGCTTATTAAATAGATCCCACTGAAAATTAAAGTGCTTAAAGCCATTAAAGAAGGCTTCATGCCCACATGACAACAAGTGGGCTGCAATGGGAAAGGTTTGGACCATGTTACTGCAAAGAGGCCCTGCTTTGCATTGTTATTTATATTTTTATAAATAAATGTTTATGTTAACCCCTAAAGCTAGTTCTTTTCCAGATTCTAACAGTACTTAGTTTGATTTTACAAAGATAGTTAAGTATGTTAACTTTTTTTAAATGAGTCAAGCCATCAGTGGAACCAAAAGTTTGGGCCTGTTTGTCTCTCTTCTGCTTGTTGGTTTTGGTCTTTTTTTATGGGATTTGGACTAAAGATCAGCCTAATCCATTAAACTACAACACTTCACTCAGCTTGCTACACTCATTACAAGTCTCAACCACAGAGTTATGAGTCATTTCAAATTATTCTGGTGAGGTTATCCTCATATTTTATTCTGTGACTGTTGTGGAGTTCACACCTGTACCTGTTAGCAAGCGTCTGCATGCTGGGGGCCTATCCTCCTGCCCATAATACTTGTAGTGTAGTCACATGGGGCCGGTATGCTGACACGTACTGATTGTAAGTATGTTTTGCATATATCTAAACTACATTTGGACACAGCCACAGGTGGGATATGTGAGTTATCATCAACAGAGAAGCAAACAGGTGCAGAAGCGCACGGGACAGTGGCCACAGGCAAAGGTTTGCTTGTGTATTTTTGTTTTTTACCCTCCGCTTCTCTAATTCTTTGTGGAGCGTCTCTGCTCTCGACTTTTCGAGGAGCAGGCTCTGCTCAAGCTGACGAATATGGGCATGTTCCAATTTCGTCTGAGTCTACGGGAAGAGACAAAGAGAGATACAAAGAAGAAAGAAAAGGGAGGCTGAAAGGAAAAAGAGACCCATACATATCAAAGAAGGTGATCAAAACGGCTGACAGCTGATGATGAAAGGGCAGCTCTGCAGACGGCAGCAGGGTGCACAAGCTGAGGAGGAGATCTGAGGTTACGTTTCACTTTCACAGAAAGTGCAATTTGCAGTTAAGGACAACTTTGTGGTCACAGGTACATGACCAGAGAAGACAAGAGTTGCACCTGCAGATGGCTCACAGACACGTCAGTCTGAGCTGCTTAATGCATGACGTGCATTAAGCAGCGCAGACTGTGCAAACCATGAAAAAGCATTAAAACACATGGTTTGATTGCATTCATATACACTGTTTTATGTCTAATACAGTAAATAAACATGATCGGCATTAAGAGTCACATCTTATTCAAGGCTGAAATTTCATCCTATTGTTGTCAGCAAATCTTTTGAAAGAATGAAAGGCAAATATATTAAAAAACAAGTACTTTATCCAAAGAGTGGGGAAAAAAATACAACTTATCCCTGTGGGTTCCTCATCCTTTAACCAATCGGTACAATGGTATTCAGTTTCCTTTCCCCTGTTACAGGAGATAACGTCTTAATTGCACTTTGAGCATGTCTAAGTCTATTAATGGTGACTGGCAAATAAACATGGCTTCCACTCACTGTGGAAACAATATGGTATTTTCTAAATGTGACAACAAAGACCCGCATAATTTTTGAAATGTGATCTGCATTTTTTTTTAAGAGATAAAATTGTTTGGAATAAAACTTTCAGTCATGAAGTGAACAAATATGTTCACCTTTTTGAGCCTGTTATTGTTATTATTATTATCATCATCCAACTACATATTTTTATTCTTGAACTCTATTAAATCATTTTACACATAACTTTCCCTGATTTATCTTATTCTGCACCTTGTTTCAGCCTCTAAGTTTGTTTTCTGCCTGAATCAAGCTGTTTTAGCTTCTCCTTACTTTAAGCCAGCTGTCCTCTGATTGGCTGTGCCTCACAAACAAAAGGTTTGAACAGCAGGTGTGCTCAAAACAGCGGATATTAAGAATATCTGCTGTCTATGACACTATGCAGATACATGTGGAGGGAAAAAAGCTGTCTGAGCTTTGGATTCGTGTGGAGTTGTTACACACACTCTAATCAAGTATCAAAGAATTTGACTAAAAATAACTCCTGTTTTACACAAAGCTTGTGTCTCATGTTTTATATCAGTTTTAAAATATTGTCTTTCTGTGCTATCACCACTCATGAGACATCAGCTGAGGACATCCCGAACGCACACCCTGTTAAACTAGAAACCCAGTCCGATCTCTCTGTATTTATATAGCCGCCTATGTGGAATTCAGGAACTCTGCACATTATCACATCAAGGTTTCTTTTGTGCACCCAGACGCTTTTTTCTTCCCTTTCCTCTTCCTTTCTGTCCCGATGTCCAGGATGTGCGTTACGCTGACAGAGCTTTCAGGGTTGCAAAGCATGAAAACAGAATCTCCTGTGACTAACACGGACCTGTGATATTACGGTGATTCACATTGTGAGGCACATAGGCTTTTTTCATTCAGCTATTAATTCTGATAAATACCTCCAGGTCTCCTTTGGTGATGGATTCCTCTTCTACTCTGAACTGCAGGTCCTCCACTTTCCTGTAAAAGCGTTATGGGAAATAAAGAAGGGGCGATTAGCTGAGCAGTATTCAAGTCTCACACAGTGTCCAGGGAGCGACCGGCACTGCAGACAATCACAGCAGTTTGCAGAAGTCACAATTTTTGTCATATTGGTTGAGACGCACCAGACAGATTCATCTCCCAGGAAAAGTTCAAACATTCTAAGCAATTTGTTTTTATTTTTAATTAAAAGGAAGCTAAGATTAGCCTGCATTTACCTGCTTTTTGTCCTTTGTACACGTCACATGCATGTATGCATAATATCTGACTTTAGGAGCAGAAACTGTTTCTGCTTGGTAACCTCGGGAAGCTAAGTCATTTCCTGAGCTTTGAGATATGGATCAAAACCCTAAACTTTGTGTCTCCGTGACAACGAGGAGTCCCACTTGGGGCTGATGAGGGCGACTAATTCACGAGTACGATAAAAACACATCAGGAAGCTTTGGGACAGTGTCGCCTCTATCCAAAGGAATCAAGAATAGATATTTTGATCACCAAAAAGTGAATTTGAAAACTAAAACTAAATGCGAAAGAAATATTTTACTAGGCGTGTGGAGCTTTCTCCATATTGGACACTAAACTCAGTGTTGGAATTTCATAATCCACTTCCACTTAAGGTTTTTTTAACATGCTGTTTGGAGGGAGAGTGTGCAGGGAGAGGGTTTTGTGGCCAGGATATCTACTCCTGCTTCTAGGCTTAATGCTAAGCTAAGCAACTCAATCATCTCACAATATTTATAAAAATGAAAGCAAATCCCAGATTATTAGCTAAAAGAGCATCATGTGAGATCACTCTATAACACTTACCAATAATTAAGATTTCAACTATGTGGCAACACTGTTGTGTGAAAGTGAGCCCATGATGTCGTGGCAGATGGCCCCGCCCCTCCCTGAGCCTGGTTCTGCTGGAGGTTTCTTCCTGTTAAAAGGGAGTTTTTCCTTCCCACTGTCGCCAAAGTGCTTGCTCATAGGGGGTCATATGATTGCTGGGTTTTTCTCTGTATGTATTATTGTAGCGTCGACCTTACAATATAAAGCGCCTTGGGGCGACTGTTGTTGTGATATGGCGCTATATAAATAAAACTGAATTGAATGATGTGTGAGCGATTACCTTTTTTCTTCTTCGAGCTGATTGGCCAGTTCCAGCTTATCCTTCTGCGTGCTGGCCAGCATGGCTTTGACTTGCTGGAGACCATTCTCGTTCTCTGTCACATACTGCAAACAGGAGACACAAATTAAATTTTTTCACACCCACAAAGGTTTTTCCTTCTGTTCTGCTCCTTGTACCCCTCAGTCAGCCCTAAACCTCAGTGTGCCGTGATGAAGGCCTAAAATCCTAGAATGCATCTGGATACGAAAGCTGTGAGAACAGAGGAAGAAATATTTGTCTCTGCAAATAAGTGTTTATCAACTGATTAAAAGCATTTATGTGATTGTTAGTGTTCAGTTATTTAAAATTACTAACTGCAGGAGTTTGTGTATCTTGTCACGCTGCGCTAGGCTGTGAATTTAATTAAAGCTAGCCTTAAATATAATGACCACTAAACTGGCTCAGGTAACATCTGCGATCACACGTCGAACATGAACCTGAACATTTACCGTTACTATTACATTTGCCAGTGTCCTGTATTCGGGCCTCTCTTTTCTAAGACATGACGTTGTGCCTGACCAAGTAAGTGTCGAGCTGTGTTTTCCCTACTTCCTCGTACCTGCATGTGCTGAGCCTTGAGGGCGCTCAGCTCTTTCTCCACCTCGCAGATGTGGCTCGTGGCCTTGGCCATCTCCGCCCGCTCCAAGTCCCTCTCGGCCAACAGCTGCTCGATGTGCTGCTGCTTCTCCTTCAGGGCTTCCTGCAGCGCGGTGGTGCCCGAGATCTTCCGTGCGTAGCGCGATGATGTCTCCGTCAGCTTTAAAGGCGGGGAGGAGGGGGACAAAGGAGATAAGACTTTAAGAAGAGGATGAAAGTGTGAACAGAAAGGAAATGCAGATTGGGCTTGATGCATTCAGAAACATCGTTTATCCTGTTAGCCGCACAGGTCCCTCTCAGATCCAACAGAATCCAACATCTCGATGCTTCTGACATCAGACTTTCATCGTTTTCATCGTCTGCTTTGTGATCACAGGAAATCAGCTGTCTGTGACATGACAGGTCTCTGCTTTTTCATAATAAGTCATATAAAAAAAAAAAAAAGCAAACTTTAAACTTATTTTCTAAATTGTTAGCTACATACGGCTTTAAAAAATATACATGTTCTTCTTCTCTGAGGAAATATCTGGCTGGTTGGGAATATCTGCAGCAGGGAGACCAAAAACAACCATTTAATCACAGTGAATGCTGCAGTATTCTCTTTGGCCACTAGAGGATGCTCTTTGACAGGATTTCTACCAGCCCTCTATACCTCGTCTCATTTCAGCAGCATTTATGGAACTTTCTTTAATAACAAGCTAGATTGAAGCATTCTGCACATAAAACATTACATCTGCACTTTTATGTGTAGATATTTCATATAAAATGTGTCAGTCATGCTCAATTGAATGTCATATGCCTGTGTATTTGACAACCTGTAAGGTAACAAATTCATGCTTTTATGATGGCAACACTATTATGTAGCACATAGACTCACAGTAAGCTTCATACGTTCACAGTGAATCAGAGATCCTTGTGCAAATTTGTGCCCATAATTCACTATCCAAATTAAAAACGGCGCCTGCTTTCTAACCACTTAAGAAAATTAAAACTGTGCAGGACGAAGCATCTTCAGGAAAGACAATTTTGTGCTGTGCCATCAGACTGATAATTCACAAAGGTTGCATTGAGTGCTGCCAACAATTAAGGAAAGTAAAGGGTAGTGTTCTCCATCAGGACCTGGCCCGTACCCAGATGCTAAAATCGATGCGAGATACCCTGATGTCCCATTATTTCAGTCAGTTGCCAGCTGTTGGTGAGGATATTAGTCTTAAAGACGCAGTGCAAGAAACAAGATGTCTGACTTCACTTCATCATCCTCCTGTTTGAATCTGCGGCCACGATATTTCATTAGATTTAAAGACTTTCAGACATTGTAATGTACAGAATTATGAGCAACTAATAAACAGATGTTCCTAATCTTAATAATCATTCCTGTGAATTATTGGGGGGGGGGGGGGTTGCAGTTAGGTCAAGCAGGTTTTTGGACGATAACAAAATTCAAAATATGGGGATGTTTTTAATATTTGGATAAAAATATTTTGCAGCTGAGAAGTGAGATGCTTTGCCAAGCCTAACAGGGATATGGGTTTTATATGCATATACATATGAACCCTGTGGTCATGTTTACTTACTGACTTTTAAAGGGATCATTTTAGGGAATATTCTCATTTGCTTGCCTGCTAACACTTAGATGAGAAGAATTCTGCCTCTCTCATGTCTGTATGGTAAAGATTACTCCATAGATAGTAGTCAGTTAGCTTAGCTCAGCTCAGGAGCATGTAATTAGCCTGGCTCTGTCCAAAGGTAACAAAAAATGTGCCCACCTCCTCTAAACTCACTTACAAGTTTTGTTTTGCTTAAAGTGGACCTGCAATGAAAACTTGTGGTTTGTATAAGCTACTGTGCAATAGTTAAGGTTATTTCATTTTGTTGCCTCAATGAGGACAGTTATTTGAGTCAGCAGTGCAAGCTGAATTATAGCCAAAAATCGACAAATGGGATCATTCACTGAAGCATGCATTGATTAGGGTAAGTATCAATACAGCAGCCCCCGACTGGCATTTTAGCGATACACTTTCTCTCATCTATCTATCAATCAATCTAGAGATTTACATAACTATATCCATATATACTGTTACAATATATCCAAACTGTTAAACATATGTGAATTAAACATGTTTCAAACAGCATGAGTATATAAATATAAATCCTCAACATAAGGTTTTCACCATTTTTTCTACTCTTGGCTCTGGCTGATGTCAGCTGACAGGGATTTCCTTATATGGTCATTTCAGGAAGCGACAGCCCCACACACATGCAAAATATGATAATTTTTCTGCTCTGCAAGTTTTTAAATCTGAACTTTCACCTTAAGCCACTTGTGTCTCAAAAGAAACATGAAGCTGAACATCAGCCGATTAGGTCCACTTTAAGCTATAAAGACGACAAGACATCAGGACTGGCTGAGACCTCAAAGGAAGCTTAGAGACATGAGAGTGGTGTCGACCTTCTTATCTAACTGCGAGAAAGAAAATAAGTGCATTTCCCGCCCTCAAATCCACCCACTCTAAGGGCGGATTTGAGGCGCGCTGCAGTCGTCTTACCAGTCCAGCACGGCTCGGACGTCCACCTACAGAGGAGGCCACCGAGCTGACTGAACTGATGGAGGAACTGCTGGGGCTGTGGGCCAGAGAGGAAACTCCCATTGCCACCCGCTTGCTCTTCTTAGCCTTCGCCGGGCTGGTGGAGGGGAAGCCGATGCGGATCACTTTGTGGACTGGAGCAAACAAGCCAAACTTAGGGAGACACTGAAAGTATCTGCAGGAAGAGAAGAAGGGGGAGATGCAAGAGGACGAGGATATTATTTAGAAGTCACAGAGCAGCTTTACAGTCATGTATCTGCAATAGGTTTTCAGTTTTCTCAATGTAGAGAAGGGAATTTTTGATAAATAGTAACAATATTTGAATATATTTTAATATTTGATACATTGGAAATTTGTCTTATAGCTCCTGCAACATCATTTAATTGGTTTGTGAATAAAAACAGAAATAAAATAATAAACTAAAGAGTCGGGAGGCCAGCTACATCATACAGTACATCGTAACAACCTCCCAGCGTGAAAAATGAAGACGCATGAGTAGGGATGGGTACCGGTATCCATGATAGTAACCAAACCGAAAAGCAGTGCACATTTCGGTGCTTTATTTCGGTGCTTTTTTTCCCTGTCATACACTTTGAATTCTAGCCAATCATTTTACGTTTGCGAGGATAGTAGGCGGGTCCAGGTACGTACGTTCTTTTAGAGCAGAGCTACAGATTAAAAATGCCCAAGACGAGGCGGTCAAAAGTCTGGCTGTACTTCATAGCAAAATATGCAAACTCAGCAGCCTGCAACAAGTGCTTTAAAACAAACAACAGAATTAGAATGAAAACAACGGAATTAGAATGTATAGAACAGAGTTTGAATGAAAGCAACAGAATTCTGAAACAAACAATAGAATTTGAATAAAAAGAGTAGAATTAGAATGAAAACAACAGCATTTGAATGAAAACAACGAAATTAGAATGAACAGACCAGAATTTGAATCAAAACAATGAAATTAGAATGAAAACAACAGAATTTGAATGAAAACAACGGAATTTCAATGAAAAAACGGAATTAGAATGAACAGACCAGAATTTGAATCAAAACAATGAAATTAGAATGAAAACAACAGCATTTGAATGAAAACAACGGAATTTCAATGAAAAAACGGAATTAGAATGAACAGACCAGAATTTGAATCAAAACAATGGAATTAGAATGAAAACAACAGCATTTGAATGAAAACAATGGAATTTGAATGAAAACAACGGAATTAGAATGTACAGAACAGAGTTTGAATGAAAGCAACAGAATTCTAAAACAAACAATAGAATTTGAAGAAAAAGAGTAGAATTAGAATGAAAACAAAAGCATTTGAATGAAAACAACGGAATTTCAATGAAAAGAACGGAATTAGAATGAAATGAATAGAATTAGAATGAAAACAACGGAATTACAATGAACAGAACAAAATTTGAATAAAAACAATGAAATTTGAATGAAAACGACAGAATTTGAATGAAAACAATGGAAGTTTAAGGTGATACTGTGCAAAGGAGGTAACACCTTAATCCGATGAAACACCTGGCGACGCATAGCGTTTTTTTTAAAAGCCGTATTTGATAGCTTGCTGCGAGACCTCACACCGAGCGCATCTACTGTGGGTGGGTTGCCTGTTATCGGACTCGGAGTTAGCAACATCCCCCAAAAACACGAAGAGGAGAGTCCTGGCCCCTAGCCCTGGCAGTGTAGCAGAAATGATGACGGATGATGATGGCAGCAGCAGCCATTCTTCATCTGCGTGAGTAGCCTAATGTTGTCCGTGTGTAATTTACATTGAGTAGGCTAACCACGTTATTACATTAATGCATGTAAGGTGAACTAGCAAACATCATCATAGTTACATGCGGCTGTCTTCTTGTTTGATGGCAGATACTCCCTTCACCCTGGCCAAAAAGGCTAAAATGACCAAAGAAAAAGTGGAAAACAGTTAAACATGAGAGGTTTTTGGACAAAGTTTGTGTTTTTTCCATTGTTTAAGCACTGCTTCCAGCCAAGAGTGATACCATATATGCCCTCTAGCTGCAGAAAAGGCTAACATTGTTATCTTTTTACAAAAATACAGCTGAACATGAGAGGTTTTTGGACCAATTTTGTGTTCTCCATTCTTTAAGCACCGGTTTGAGCACCGGTTTGAGCACCGTTTAAGCACCGGCACCGTTTCAAAAGTACCGGTTTAGCACCGGTATCGGATAAAACCTAAACGATACCCATCCCTATGCATGAGTGACAAACACTGCAGTTCCTGAAGCGGCCACTTGAGGCTCAATCCTAAAGTGACTCATGTTAACATGGCCTCCCGTGTTTTAAGGCCCGCATCTATAGCATAAATAAATACACTTATAGCCAGGTACCAGAAGCAGTTTTGTTCTCTATAGCTAATTCCCCTACATGACAAGTACTGTGGTGTGAAAAACTGTTTGCCCCCTTCCTGATTTCCTAGTGGCTTGCATATTTGTCACGCTTACATGTTTCAGATTATCAGATCATCATAATTTTAATATTACACAAAGAGGGATTTTTTTTATATAATTACCCCTTTACATTTCTTTAGTATGTAAAGTTTAAGAAAAAACATTTGAAGTGGCGCCAGCTAGCTACGAGCTAGGCCTCCGCTAACTTTAGTCAATCTAAAATATGTTTATGTTATTTTTATGAGATTATCTGTTTGAATTATATATAATATGACCTGCTTTAGGATTAATTGTACTGAAAGATAACAAATGGGTCTGGTTATTTAAATCCTAGTATTTTGTCTCTGTTACTGTTTTACGCTAACTAGCTGGTATCTGCAGTTTGCTAACAAAACTAGCTAGAATTTGAGCTAAGCTAATAACTTCTTTTAGATTCAAAAAGCCGACATGGTGACAGCTGCAAAGTATCTGTTGGATTTCTTTGTCATATATAGAGGACAGTGAGTATATTTTCATTTACCTGCTCATTAACTAACAAGGAAAAGAACATTAAGTTACAGGAATGCAAAGACTTTTCTAACCTTTCTTTAAGTATCTCTAGCTAAGAATTTATAAGGCTTTGGGTTTTTTGTTCTTTCAGATGGAGAACTGCGCTGCCCTGTGTCGTTCCCTTGAGTGGAGCTGGTCTTCCTGGGTTTGAACTTCCACGCCTGCTGTAACTACGTTATTCTCTGCCAGTTCATTGCATCCACAATGGTGGTAACTTGTCTGCCTGAAGCCTTTTACCTCGTCTTTGAAAAGTCATCCCTTGAAAAGTGTATCCCTGAGGAGTCAGGAGCTCACAACCAGGCTCCCAGTGGATTCAGGTACCACCCTGCCACTCACGCGCCCTCACGCGCCCGCCCACAGGTACCCTGTCCCAATCTCTTTTCTCCTGCATTCTCAAGTCAGACCTTACCTGTAAAAAAAACCTCACCTGTAAGCTCTCCCTCTCTACAGACACCACCCAGATTCATTTCCTCACAGTCTGTCACTGCTCAACACTCACTCGCAAACAAAAATTTATAGACTTTATAGACTTATAGACTTTATATTGGTCACAGTCTGATCTTTGGGTCCAAAAATTATAAAATTATGACAGATGACAGATTTAAGAAACAAGACAAACACGCCTTTGTTGTGTTTTTATTTCATGCTGTAGTGTTATTTTTCCCTCTAACTACAGTTTAATGGAACACGTGGTTCTGGTTTTATCGCCTCACTGTCCATCTATATTTGATATTGGGTATAATGATATAAGTATTATTGTATAATATTTATAACTCAACAAACTAATAACCTATCCAGAAAAATCTAGCATAGATTGCTACTGGATCCTGAGTATCATTAAAAAAATGTTAGTTTTACATTCTTGTTGCTTGGCTCTAAAATTCCACCAGCACTTCAAAATGCCTGGAACTACATTTCAAATGTTTTAAGACATTTCCCATGATTGAAAGGGGGATGATGTGTGCTATGCGGGCTAAGCAAGAGTCTGAAGGAGTAAATATGAGGATAAAAAACAGTCCAGAGCAGCTCTGAGCGAGAAGGTCGAACTGTTTCATTGAAAAACAGATGAGAGCACAAACGGCCGAGCGGACAGATCAACATCCCTCCCCTTGATTTCCTTTTAGGGTAAGAAGAGAGCAGGAATTTGGGGATCTTGAGGCATGCATAGTGTTTGTATATACCTTGTACCAGCTACTGCACCATCATTCTTCCCCAGAGGCTCATCCAGCTCGACCCCACACCATTCGCCCTTAGCGAAGTCTGTCTCCCCCATATAGCGTATGACGCCCATCTTCGAGCCCCCAACCTGACAACAACAACAAAGGGAAGAAATCAGTTACACTTAAATACAAACAATTCAATACAAAGTGTCAAATTGTTGAGTTTTACACTGTCTTTAACATCATAATCAAATCTGACTCTATGTAATTTCACACATCAGTTCCCATAATCCCTTTTGCCTCTGTAAGATAGAGACCGTTGCTACTGATGCGCTCTTCTTTCTATTAACTTATTTAAGATGCAGTTGAGTCAGGAAATATATGGATCCTTTACTTTTTTCAGACTTTATTGTAATGGAGCTTTCATTTTAAATTCTAATATGTGGCGTGAGTAACCGGTTCTACAATTTACAGACTTCCCCTAAACGCAGCACATGCAGACTGTCATTAAGTTACACTTATGGAAAGAGGACACCTAGAAGGAGAGAAGAAGAGTCACAGTAAGCAGAGATCCTGGATTAACAAAGGAAGTTAAAAACAATCATTGAGATACCCATTATCTCTGACTGGGGGTTTAGGTTTAGGTCAATAAATGAGTCATTTATGAAACAATGTGTAAAGTTGTCTTTTAAAAGCGGATCATCAACTGTTGTTTGGGAACACTTTGGATTTACAGCATGTGCAACAGTCCAACACAACTATTTTACTCCACTGCCTGAAAACACACCATAAACTGCAGGACAACAAATGCATCGAGGAAAAGAAAAACGATGCACTAGTTGCTAACGTGAATTTTACAAAGTCGCCTCAGAAGTCTGCAAAGATCCACTGAACACGTTCATGCAATCATTAAGACATTGCTTATCGTTAAGTGTCCAGTAAACACGGTAACGAAGGCTTCAGGAAAAGCGTCAACTTAACGAACAAAAAACATGTTATCGCATCAAACAAGCATCTAAAACAGCGAAAACCCCGCGCCAGTGGAGGGACACACAGCTGTTGAGTATTTTGCTACAAGTTTCATTCACAGTTTCATTCACAGCCATCGATGGTACAATGAACAGAGCGAAAGAGAATATTTATATTTGTTTTACACGTGAAGATGAAAGCAGTGCCCTGTTTCTTGAATTTTGTGCTCAGGTTTAACTTTAAAAGTTTCTGAACAGACTGGTCGAGGTGTACTTTTTTCTCTCAAATATCTCTTTTCTAATGATGGCCTTGAACTCCAGTGCTGGTCAGGCTCCACATCACAAACACAGGATGCTCTTCTAATGAGAAATGTCAGCAGTTATGACCATGACGGTGTAATTTTAGCATTTTCTGTTCAAGATGTTCCTTCTTGCGGTCGAGACGGTAAATGTGTGGGTGTTGGCATAAGCAGGGTCTCTTTTTCTGTAACGTAGAGGTGCACACAATAACATTAAGCTCCCTGTGTCATGGTCCTGGGCCATGTTGGCCCAGTGTTCTTAGTTTTCTTGTATGTTTGTATTTTGTTCCCTATTTAGGCCATGTTCCCTGAGTTGCCCTGTTGTGTTGTTCCCTAAGTGTTTTCCCTTCGTGGCTTTTACCCCCTGTGTGCCCCTCTGTGTATCTGTGAGCCCTCGTCTCTCCTTATGTTTTATTCCATGTTTCCCCTGCCCGTTATGTCTGTTTTCCCCGTGCTCTCTCTCCTCCTGTCTGAACCTCTGTACTTCCTGTTTGACTCTGCCCGTCTCCCGTCAGTGTTCAGTTCACCCCGCCCTGTCTCGTTATGGTTATCTGTGTCAGCTGTGTTCCCCGTGTGTTCCCACTTTCCTCGTTAACCCTCTGTGTATTTCTGTCTGCGTCTCCCTCTGTTCGGCGTCGCGTTCTCCCTCATTGTTGTGTGGATTCCCTGTGTCTCCCTACGAGTGTTAGTTTATTGATTCCCAGTTTAGTTGAGTTCTGTATTTCCTATGTTCTGCCTGTCAGCAATAAAGCTGCTTTTGAGTTCATCCCCGTGTTTGTGAATCTTGCGATTGGGTCCTCCTCCCGCCTGCCACACAGCCGAACCATGACACCCTGTCAAACTGTCTTACCTGGACACTTGAATATAGAGAAGTGGTATGCTTTTGGGGGACATGTATATTCTAATAAGCGAAAATGTCTGCTGTAGAAACAAAGGCATAGAATTTTTACTCTCCTGTCATTATAAATATATTAAAAAAGTTCAAAGACAACACTCAACACTAAAATCCTCCAGGAATCCAGTTTGTAATTATAGAAGTCAAAACAGAAACGTTTCCGTTCTGCTTCCATCAGCACCTAACCTTGTTATTTATTCACTTTCAATCGTTCGGCTAATCAGCTGTTTGAACTTACTCCAGAAATGAGATATTTGACTAGGCTAACTCAATACATGTAAACTCTGCTTCACTCACTTCTCTCAATTCTGTATTTTCCAGTCAGAAAAAAGTAGGTTTCCTGTGAGGAAGATGATCTAAACTGATGGCTGAGGACTGTCCTTCACACATGGTGACCACATTTATGACAAAAACCATCACAGACGTGCACAGATACTCAGCATTTAAGAGGAGAGCCTTTAAAGAGAAAGCACACTACAGTCAGAGATGACAAAAGCAACATGGTTACATTTTATTCATCTCCTTTGTGTTAATTTAATTTATCTGAATCTCCATCTGTATCTATTTACCTATTGTTCGATTACAATACTCCCATTCCCAGTGCACTGAACAGGTGGAAAAATGCTTAGAGCAACAGATGCTTCTGTATTTATCTACAATTTAAGAATCGTAATTGTTGTTTTGGAGTCCATCAGAGTCTCTTATAAAATATTTTTACACATGGCTGGATTCAGCATGAAACAGAAGACAAGGACAGACTAAAATAAAGCGTGGTGAGTCACTCCTCTATTGTCAAATTAATATTCCACTCCTGAGCTGACTCTGTCCTTCTCTTAAACCACTGAGGCCAAAGTGGAAGCTGTGCCAAGAAAGACTGTGGTGTCACAAGTTATTAAACCGAGATGGTTTGCTGTCTGCTGGGGTGCGTGATGTCTCAGTGACTCTGTGTTAAAATGCCAGCAGGGCCAAAGCAGCCAGTCAGCATAAGCCCCAATCTTGGCTCCTCTTATTTTCAAAGTCATCTGAAAGCTTCACTCCAAGGTATTCAAGATAAAACTGTTCTACACGACTAAATCCCAACATCAACGAGGAACTAGTCTTACTTTTTTTATGCCACATCATGATGTGACACGAAAAGAATCCATTTACCCCAAACCTCAAGCAGCCGCAGGAACAACTTGTTAAAACATAATAAATGGTACAATAAACGTATACTTGACCGCAGCAGGTTTATAGAACTTCGGGAGCAGAAATTAGCATCAGGGTTAGCAAAGGCTAAAATTATCCCAAGATTCATTAATGAGCTGAAAATATGTGGCAATTTAAGAAAAAGTTCATTTTTAATTTGGTGGCAGCAACATGCTTTAAGTTGGGACTGCAGCAACAAAAGAGTGGAAAAGTAAACTAATTGGCAATTGGCAGCAAGTGAGTAACATGACTGAGTATAAAAAGAGCATCTTAGAGAGGCAGAGTTTCACCAGTTTTAGAAAGAAACTGCAACAATTAAACAAATATTTTTCATCAGTGATTCAGAGAATCTAGAGAAATCCCTGAGTGCAAGCGACAAAGCTGCGCATCTGTACTGAATGTCTGTAATCTTTAGGCCCTGCAGGCAGCACTACGTTAAAACCAGGAGTGATTATGTCATGGAAGTCAGTGCATGGACTCTGGAATGCTTCCAGAATTCACTGGCTGTCACTGGCTGTCTATCATGCCATATGTGACCATGACCATTATGCAGCTATACTTAAAAGTTATACTTTTACTCAAAAGTTGCAGGGAAAACACTACCTAGGCTGCTCTTGTTCTCACCTTTGAGTCCTGGTGAGTCAATACACTGTGTATAGTTCTGTGTCACTACTTTTGCATACTGCAGCCAACACCTTGTAGCCATATAGTCACACTTTGACTCAGGTAATCTGTCATCAGTGACAGTAACTCTAATTTTGCAAATTTCCTTGAAATATCAAGATATAGTTTCGAGGCTGTATCACCCACCCTTAGCTGCCAATTTGCAGCAACAATAACAACCTGGCACCTGCACATTCTGATTAGCATACATATATTCACACCTAGAGCGCACCTGCAGACCTTTTCAACATCAAAGTAAATCAGAGAGTGTAAAAGTGCACTGTGTCAGATTTGCTAGTTTTAAGTATCAGGGCTCGCAAAATCGCTAGCCCGACGTCCCGGCCTTACATCTAGATCATCATACAAGCTGGTTACTGGATGATTTCTATCCTGTAGCAGGGTCTCAAGGCCATGCAAGAACAGCAGTTTTTGTAAAAACATGTAAAAACATAAATTTTATATCATAAAAAAAACCTTTTTAGATATTGCACCTTTTATCTCTACTTTCTCTGGATACAAGCTTGCAGAGAGGATTATAAGTGCTTTACTTTATAGAGCCCCTCTCATCTACGTCTGCTGGCTCCAGGATTTAAAGTCCTAATTTTAGATTATTCATTTCATGGCTAATGCACTACTTATTAACCTATCATTAGCCTGCACACACTGTATCAAGCTGTAGTCTGCAACTGTCTGCTAGTGGACAACCTCGAAACTATATCTTGATGAGTCTTAACAACCATTAGAGAAGTTTCTAGGTTTTTCCAAGGTAGCTATGACAGAAACCGCTCAGTTCAGAAAACAGCTTTAAAAGTTACGCCTAGTAGACTTTAAAGAGATAAAGAGTCAAGAGTGAATGCGTATACACCGATGGACTCCACTAAAATCTCAAAACCATAGTAATAAGCAGCCATATACGCCCAGTTACTCATACCATAGTGGTTTTGCGATTGTGCAACAGGAAGAAGTTCAGTGACTAGCATGCCTTTGAGTGGCTTTGGAGTTATTCAAATAAACAGCAGCCACATCACATGCAGTTCCACTGGAAGAAAAGGCTCATTTAACTTCTGCTGATCTCTCCAGTAGCAGAGATCGAATTTCCCAGAGGAACCCACCCGAGGGATTAATAAAGTTCTATCTTATCTTAGATGGCCTCTGGGGACAGCCTCTGGTTAAATACTAAAGCTAACAAAGGAGAGGCAGTTCTGAACTTCCCATGGGTGTTCGGATTTCGAAGGTGCCAAGGGTCTGAGGCTGTCCCCTCTTTTGGGAAACACTTCTTTAATTCATCTTTATATATATATATATATATATAGACATTCTCTCTCTCTCTCTCTCTCTCTCTCTCTATATATATATATATATATATATATATATATATATATATATATATATATATATATATATATATATATATATACACATATAAAAATCTGGGTGACATTCTCTTGAGGCAAACTTTTAAACACACATCAGCAAAGTCTGCCCTTAGTTCAGTATTACTCTAGCGTTCTGTCAGGGCTTCGCCCCGCTCTCTGGCAAAGACGCCCCCAGAGTGTCGACTGCTACTATCACATAGCTCAATACCTAATGGAGAAAAATAGACCTTCCTTTTTGTCCACAGTGTGTAATCTGATTTTCATAGTTTTCGCTCATTTCACAAAATTTTGGAGGCGGTGTTGTACTTCCAAATGTGACACAACTGCATGGCAGCACATCCGAGCCGCCGCAGTGAGATGGATTACACAGGAGAGGTTTAGGAAAATGATGGATTCACAGATCAATGTGTCAGCAGTGGTATCTCCTCTCTTAAGTGCTGAAAGTAATCTGGAGTGATTTACAATATTGACCAGGAGGAAGGCTTTCGGGCTCCCCGCTTTTGACGGCGCAGGATCTGATGTAGATATCCCCTGTGTCCATCACTTAATGGAAATCCACGTGACCCGATAATCCCATACAGTAGGCGGTGTATAGACTAACAGGAGCCAGTGGGAAGAAAATGCAAGAAGCAGATAAACATATTCTTCCTGTTGAGGTTTAGTGACATTCTCACCAGCTTTGGTGCTGATGAGAATGGAAAAGGATGATGGAAAAGGAAAAAGATGCAAGAGAGGTTGGGTGAAGGTTAAATCCTAGCACTAAGACCAAATAAAGGAAAACTGAACTTCCCCAAAGAATCAGTCAATGTCTCACATTACACTGCATCAATCCAGTTTTACTGAGGCCTGCATTAAATACTAATTAGGAAGTCATTGCTCAGTTACTACTGAGAATTGTGTTAATTTCAAATGTTTACAGATAATCAAGTTAAAACCGTCCACATTTAAAAGGGCAGGGAAATTATTTATCTTCGCATTTGTTAAAGACACGGCAAATGGGAACATGGTTACATGGGAAGGTCAACACAGTTCTGTCTGTGGCTTGTAAAGCACCCGACATGTTTGTGCAATGGTGGCGCCAACAGAGCTTTGCAAACCATCATGTACATCAGGGATCTTAAACTCATTTTACATTGTGGGCCAGACCAGTGACGCTCGCCTTTCTGTGGGTCTAAAGAAGTTTGATTACACACTGAGCACCTTAATAAAAGAATAAGTGCAAATACAACTACACATTTCATTTTCTACCTGATAATGAAATGCTTCTACAGCAAATGAAAGAAATTGCATGTCTCTTTGGCTTTAATTGGAAGAATTTAAATGTAAAATTACCGAATAAAGATTAAAATAAAGCTTTAAAACTTGTTAAAATAGTTAAAAGTCCAAAATTTATACCTTCTTTTGTGTTTTCCAGTTTTCTGGTAGGCTCGAACTAGTCTTTGTTGGGCCTATTCTGGGCCCTGGGTCTTATGTTTGACCCCCATGATCTGCATGCTATAATGGTAGTGTTACATGTGGTCTACTCACCAAAACTCGATCTCCAACTCGAAGATCCTTATCACCTGCTTTTTTAACCGAACCACTGTCAGACATGTTGGACCCAGACTCATTTCCCGTTTTCACGGCGCTGTTGAGCAGGCCCTCTCTGAGTGGTACCACCACCCGCTGGCCGGCGGGGGCGCTGCCGCCGCCGCCACCCTGCTGAGTCTGATTCTGGGTTGAGTCGGTGGAGTGGCTGTCGCTCCCCTCTCCGACTGGCTGTCGGGTGAGCTTTGAGGGTCGCGTAAAGATTCCCTGGAGGGGCTGGCACTCAAAGTAGCGCACGCCACCCACTGAACCATCGTTTTTGCCAACTAGGTCATTCAGTATGACGCCTGCCCACTGTCCTGGAGCAAACTGGGTCTCCCCTAGGTAGGCGATAACTCCTGGTTTCACACCGTTGACCCAAACCTGTTCGCCAACGGTGTAATCCCCCAAAACATCGTCGCCCTCTTCCGAGATTTTAGTTGGAGTGGTGGGCTTCAGCGCAGCACCTGGAAAAAGCACAGAAACACAGTTATCTGCCATGTTGCAGAGCAACACAAGGATTCATATAACAAAAGCAGAATGTGCTTAAAGGCATTAAAACTAAAAGGTGCATGGAAACTGTGTCATTTCTTCTTACAGTCATTACACTCCTCTCTGATTTAAGTTGTGAACACTGTGTACATTGTGAGGCCATCCTCATTCACAGTCCAGCAGAATCGCCTTCACACTATTCATCCTGTTTGACCATGCCAGCAGAAAAAAAAGCTTGTGTGGCAGCATCTAGCACAACAGAGCAGTTTGTGCAAGATTAGGCGATAGTCTAATTCCTTCTGAAAAGTGGGTCAGAGAGACGGTATCTGTGATGTGCCGGTGATTAACCCTGCCATCAGCCCTGTGATATCGCCTATTTGACACATAGAAGAGCTGGATGTCTGTTCTCATCCGCACAGCCTGTAAACCGGGAGGGGCACCGTTGGCACGAGGTCTGGTGCACCGCGCTGCCGTAAAAGCGTGTTTATCTATGTCTGTGTGCAGGAGTGGTTGGTGCCAGGACGGTCTCCCCGACACCCTGAGAGCGGGCCCGGGGCTTTGTGGGCTCCAGTGGCTGTGCTCGATGCATGTTATGCCCCAATTGCTTCCATATGCTGCTATGTGAGCCGCAAATGAAAATGGGTACAACTTCAAAGGGGATTTAACTTGATTATAGAGTTTAGAAGCTCTTAGGAATGTGCTGCTTCTGGTAAATCGCTGTTCTGGGGAAAACTGATGACTGACTGATAATTTTGTTCAGTGTCAAGAAGTGGTCATCTTGAAGATGGATGCCTTTCAAAAGGTTACTTTTTTCTCTGACCGTGGACAAAGTTTAGGCTTCGAGGCATCTAGCACCATTTACCATTTCACACAAATATACCAGCTGAACTGAAAGTATTGACCAGACGATGGTCATTAATCAATTATGTGTCAAAATGGATGTGGCCCAGGGTAAACTGACATTTAGCATCAGCATCAACCATCAGTCAGTCTGTGTTTGACCCACATTTCTGATTGCATAGTCCTGGGGTGTCCAACTCCAGTCCTCGAGAGCTACTGTCCTGCAGCTTTTAGATGCATCCCTACTCCAACACAGCTGAATCAAATGGTTGGGTTACCTCTTCAGCATGCAATCAAGTTAAGTAAAGGCCCAGTAACAAGCCATTCATTTGATTCAGCTGTGTTGGAGCAGGGATGCATCTAAAAGCTGCAGGACAGCAGCTCTCGTGGACTGGAATTGGACACTCCTGGTATAGTATTTTATCCCATTCGAATTGTGAAGCCCAGCACATCCAGAACAGCAAAGATAGTTGAGAAACACTTGCAGTCAGGCCTCCTTACTCCAAATAAAATAAGATTCTAACAAGCTTAAATGTCAAGCTGTGGTATCACCACCTTTATTGTTTAACACAACCTGAACTCTCTCCGGCAAGCTTTCCTGTAACTTCTTTAAGTAGTCTCAGGAACTATTGTCCAGGCTTCCCGAAGGACATTCAAAGCTCTTTTTTTGGATGCTGTCTGCTTCAATAATGTTGACGTCCGGGCTCTGGCAAAGCCGGTCCATGACTGATAGTGTTCAACTGTGTGCTCTTTCTATTTATGTATGCTTTACAGTGTGTTGGGATCATTATCACTGTCCAGAGTCCTCAAAGTTTCAAGGAGCTACTTAAAACTTCTTTTTTTTTTATCTCTGTCAAACTTTGTAATCTTTAGCATTTTCTTATTTTTAATTAAAGAAATGCAAACAATTGTGTGCTTGTGGAACAGGCTGCCAGTAACAAACGACCCAAAGTTACCATTTAAAATGGGTTCTTTGCTAAGCTGTCTGTTATGTGTAGACACAACACCAGTTCATCCCTTTAGCTCATTGCCTTTTTATGCTTATTGATTCACAGGTAAGCGTCCTATAGCTTAAAAAACAAAAAAAAATCCATCTGAAAATGGTCAGGTACAAGGAGTGAACTGAAAATGAGTGAAAAAGCAGCTAACATCTAGAGAAAACTTCGAAAGACCGTCAGGAAGCCTGGACACCACTTCAAATAATTACAACAACTTTGGCTCCTTTGAAGCATACAGAGGTGGCAGCTCAAGACTTTTATACAGTATTGTATATAACATATTACATGAAGAACATTAACAGCTGTTCAGTGCTAATCAATGCTAGTCACCGTGAAATAGACTGCAGTCCTGCAAGTTTCCTGAGTGACTATGACCTGATCTAAAAGCTTGTATGTTTCGGATTCAGATTTTTTCTAAACTTTTCCGATTTCCTGGACATCATTTTCAGAAGGACCTTGGTTACAAAGGAAGTAAAGGTAAAAGTAGACAAATGTACCCTAAATAGGACATTACAGCCAAACACATGGACATTGTAGTTGAAATACCACAGCACTATTGGCTCTTTAGATCTGGTATTTCCATGAAGAAAAAGGACGAATCATCCAAGAAATAAACTACTGTCTCATTTTTGGACCATGAGTTCAGAACTTATAGACACTGTATAACATTAATAATTATTTTCCACTTGGCTTTTAGTTTATTTATTGTTTACATTTTCATATTATTAATCCTTAATAATGTGGGCCTTTAATCCTTTGGTCCAGTTACAGCTTGTATTTCCCTCTCTTTTCCTTTGGTCTTTTCCCCCCATTACCCTCCTGTGTCCACTTCCTCTAATGACCTGTGTGTTTTTTAAGCTCCACTCTTCCTCTGTCCTTTGTTGCAGAGCCTGTGTGCTTGCACAATGTTCTGGCTTGTCTTTATGGTTCTTGTTATTTTCACCAGCCAACATTAAGGTTTGCTTTTGGTTTATTTGGACGGCGCTACGTTTCTGAATTTTGTTCCTAAACTCTGTGATTCACGACACTCTCTCTGATTTTCAATTTCTTAAAAAAGTTTTAATAATAAATTGAACCTTTCATCTCACAGCACAGGATTATTCCAGTGATTCTTTATTGCATTTTCATGAACCTGTGGGCTGTCTGAGACTGTGTACCTCTGCGAGGCAGAAAATTCCCTCCTCAGCGTGCGTGACATGATCCAAAAGAATATCTGGATCCAAATTAGTATGTGACATTTTTGTGAGAACTTCACGATGACGTCCTGTTTTAACTGGATATGTTTTTTGGAAGGTATGAGACAGAATGGGGACGGCACGGTGATGCTGTGGTTGGCACTGTTACCTCACAAAAATTCTGAGGCAACAGTTTCTGTGCACGCTATCCGTGCTCGTGTGGGTTATCTCAGGGTACTCCAGCTTTATCCCACAGTCTGAAGTCATGCATGTGTTAGGTTATCTCAGTGGTTCCGAATTGACCATAAGTATGACTGTGAGAGTGAATGGTTATCTGTCTCTCTCTTATCCCTGTGACGATGTCAATCTCTCAAGCCAACTTTATTTATAAAGAATTTAAAAACAATAAGCACTGAACATAAAAAAATATACCAGAATAAAGTAAAATTAATATCAAATACATAAAAATGACAAAATAAAATAAAACAATGCAGAACAAAAACGCAAATAACCATGAGTAAAAGAATAAAAACGTAAAAATTGCATCAATGTATCAAACTGGGTCAAAGAAAAGCAGAAGAGGGGAGTCTTTAAAATGAAAGAGGTGCAAAGGCAACAAATTCCATAATTTGGGAGGGTATAGTGCATAGGTGTCAAACCGAAGCCATACCAAATTACTATTAGAGCTGGCCTACTGGTATTATACAGCTAATATATATATTGTTTAGTATTAAGCTTTTCTTGTTCCATATTCAGTTTTCCAGAAAAACTTATTTGAGTCCATAAGAAAAGATTCATTCTTATATCTGGAGGAAGATTTTTTTTTCAATAAATATTAATGTTAGCCCGCGACTTTGTTCCAGTTTTGAATTTTGGCCCACTGTGTATTTGAGTTTGACACCCCTGGTCTAGTGTGTTCCCTGCCTCCCGCAGCAACACCCCAACTTGATAAGAGGAAGAAAATAGATGGATGGATAAAAGTTCTTCTAAAATTTCTGACCCAATGCAGATCATTTTTAGGTTATTATCTCAAAATTTGAATTTAGTAGCTCAAAATTGGTTGGAATTTAATGTCTCAATTCTGAGTTATTTTCAGAAAGTTTTGACTCATAAATGGCAGTTTTTATTTTACTCAGTGGTGAAACAAACTTCCATAAGGTCAGTCTTGAAAAATCATCTGTCTTTAACAATCACATGACCTCACTGGACTGAAAAAAGTAAGGTTTATATTCATGGAGGTTAAGACATTTTTAAAAAGTACAAAACTCACCTGCTTGCTGCATACAATGCTGCTACTGCACATTCACCTAATGTATATAATATATAATGTTCTTCTTCTCTCCCCCTTTTGCACAAGTCGAGGAGCGTGTCAGGTTACATTTCACTGCTATGCACGTGACGAATAACGAATCTTGAATTTTGAATCTTAAAAAATCCAGCATCTATAGCCTGGATTTTTTTTATGCCGACTATTACAGATTTTAAAAAGTCACTAATTTCATTTTTCATTTTCATTTTGTGCAAAAGTTAAAGACCTGTGATCAAGCCAAATACTACACGGGACACGTTGCAGTTACAAATAAACTGAACCCTGTTAGCGTAACATTACGTAATGGAGTGCAAACCTCTATGACGCTGCTCTCCTGCTGTTTCTTCCTACACATACCATAAAAATGGCCAGCCTATATCTACATTACAACCTTCTACGTGGATGGGCAACTTTGCGAGGGCATGAAAAACCCCACTTCTTAAAGAAAAGCGTGACTAATCATAGTGTAATAATCACAGGATACACAGATCCAAACAATGCAACATGTGATCTAAGCCAGCAAACCCAAGGTGGTGTTTAAAACCTGAGCTAACCCATGATTTGGGTTGCTGGGGCAACAGCACAGTGAGGGTAAAAGGATCCTCGGCAGAAGGAAAACTGGAAACACAGCCCTTACTTTCACTATTGTGCTT